AGCGTGGGCATCCCCCCCATGCTTTGGCCTCCCGTAGTGCGTAGGAATTTGAGCTGTGAACTGCGCCCCCCCACACCCTCGCCTGCCTGTGGGGCGCTGCTTTGCCCGCTGATCGCTAGTAGGAGCTGTACGGGAGGGTGACGCCTAGAGAATGCCGCCGTCTGCACTCTAGATGCTTTTTAGAAGTTTTGAAATTACTTTTAGTTCCTTTTATATTGTTAATGGAAACTCGAGCCTTTTGGCTCCCTCTCATTCTCCCACCCCCACCCCAACCTTCCCCCTCCATCTCTCATCCAATGTATAGACCATTCTCCTTCGTCCACCAGCTACCGGAATCCAACTTAATAAATAAACCAACACTCTTCTGTGCTGTTTCTGTTGCTTTCCCTCCCACCTCTCCTTTTGTCCACGTGGTTCACTAAGGGCTTGTTGATAAGACTAGGCTGGATCGGGCAAAACGGGGTTGCTAGGAGGTCTGGTATGTCACTGGGTGTGATCCTGGCATCCAAATGGCATACGGCCTTCATGCGACCCTGTTTGGTCCATAGCAGCCTGCAGTCAATCTGCCAATATCGTGAAGTGGCTTAAAAAGAGAGCCACTTCAGGATATTGGCAAATTAAACACAATACCCTCGGCTGCAACCAGCACCTTTTCGGCCCTCAAGGGCTTCTACTTTTTTGGTGTGAGTAGGATTCCTCCATTTCAGGAGCATGTCATCTCTGGGAATGAACCGAAGCAAATTCATTTGCCAATACAATGAAGAGAGCCACCTCAGGATACTGGAAAACTAAAAACACTTCCTCGGCTTTGTAGAGGGGCCAAGGAAGTGAAACATACATTTTAAAGTGTGTATTATAGCAGCAAAGATGCATCTAAAACAGCATTAGGTATGCATATTACAAATTAGGTATGTGCATTAGGTATAGCTAATCTGAAAAATTCCTGTCAAGATGCTTTAAAAAGGTGTTAAAGCGTCTTTTAAAAATAGCTTCTGAAAGCAACTGGAAAATGTTACTGGTTCAACATGAAAGGTAACGGTGTTATCTACTGGTTACATTATTTCTACTGTAACATTGTAAGTGCTCATTACAGTGCTCATTACCTAAAAGTAACTAGCTACAAGTAGCTAATTTCTAATTAGTTCCTTCCAAGTTCCGCTTAACCTTTCACTTCCAGGGCTGCACACCACTCACTACAGGGCATAATTCTGCCAGGGGTTAATGCTTTATGTTCAGTCACAGAGCTTAGATATCTTAATAATATATATGGAGTTGCACCAGGTGGCAACAGTGCCTGGTTTTTAAAAAGTCCCGCCTATCAGGATAATCTTTTTCCTTGCAACTCTTGAGGCCAAACATGGGTGATAGATGGGGAAACAGAGGCATTGCCGGCCCCCACTACCACCTTCTAAATGAAAACCATCCATAGGAAACCACATGTTTCAGCAGAGCTATGATAACAGGAAAGGGCTTGTTAAAGCATCCTTTCATATCCATTTTCCTTCAAATAATAATAATAATCCACCCTTATGTTTTTCTCCACTGCCTAGGGATGAGAAGAGCTATCAAAGCTGGTTTGCAGATCTTCTCCCTTTCCCACCTGTAACAGCATCTTGTGCCAGTTCTGGGGTGATTCTTTTAAAAGACACACATCTTCACATATTGTATTTGCTTTTCAAACTGGCGCGTTGTGTTCACTTTTCCTAAACCGTGCCTTTTAGAAATCTGTGGGGTGCCTTTTGGAGACCTATCAGTCATGGAGGTGTGAGAAAAACACTGATTCAGAGAATATGTTTCGACTTTCTCACACATCCTTGTTCCTCATTATGGGCTAAAGCAGGGGTTCCCAGCCTTGGGCCTCCAGATGTTCTTGGACTTCAACTCCCAGAAATCCTGGCCAGCAGAGGCGGTGGTGAAGGCTTCTGGGAGTTGTAGTCCAAGAACATCTAGAGGCCCAAGGTTGGGAGCCACTGGAAGGGGATCATCCTGATATTTTTTTTCCTCTACATGTGGAAAACAACTAGCAATTGCAGAAGTCTTTGTAGAAAATTGACAAGAAAGGGAAGAAACAGCCCTTCCCTCCTGCTGCCTTTACCTCAGTCACCACTTCTGAAGCTGCATAGATTAACAGATATAAAACTCCTGTATAGTTTTGTCTTGAAAAATCCTACAATGTCTCCTTGTTTACAAAAACATGCCTTATGAGTCATTCGCAAATCCTGTCTGTTCCAAATTTCTTCTCTCACCTTCGAAAAAACCTTCTGGATTGGCTATCACAGGCATATATATCTGCAGATGCTTCTGGGTGGACATTCCTATAATGCTGTGAAATGGTTCTTCTTTTGCTGTAAGGTACAAGAGGCAGCTCCCCCCACCGCCCAGTGTGCAACACAAATTTGTGCTTCGTGAATCAATAGTTTTGGAATTCGCACATCTCAGAATTTTATGGTGTCGTTCTATGAAGGAAAAGACATTCATCAAAATCCTGAATATATTAATAGTGAAATATATATACAACAAACATTATCTAAGGAAAGGCTACTTGCAGAAAGGAGTCTACTAGGTGAAAATGCATATATTTGGGGACATGTGCATGCAAAAAGCTTTTAATTGCAAAAACAGAGAAATGAGCCTTACTTAGAAGAGCCATTGTAATTGACATTCTGTGCTTTGGGGCATGTGTGTATGGCTGAAATAACAGTGTCTACATGTATGTATCTCTTTACATTTCTGCATGGGTAGAGAAGATACCAGGGCTTTACCATTGTCTCCCCTTAATTTTTTTAAGAGTACTGGATTTTGTAAAATGTTGCCAGAAAAGTATTTTGTTACTGATTAAGAATTTGATTCCCCCTTCTTTTTTTAAAAAATAGTGATAAAGTAATTCCCATCATATAGGCCATAGTGGAGGTGTGCCACATGGCAATCTATTTAAAAACCTCTCAGCACCCACCAAAACCAAATCGGTCTCCAGAAGGAACTGCAGTTTTAAATTCACAAATTTCTTTTACCCATTTTCAAAGGCTTATTCGTGGCGCTTTCCTAAAGTACAGGAACAAGAAAAGTTAAACCCACCCAACTTCCCTCTCTTCTGCCCCTGAGCGGCACCCAGACTGAATCTGCCCCATTCGGACCAGTTTATACGAGGTCTGGATTGAAGCCGCACTGCTGTATTTCGTACCAAAGCAAAGCAAATTTACAAATCAAATCTGGTACAAAAACAAAAGTTGAATGGCACGGAGCACAAATCACATTAGTGTTTTCTTTTCTTTTTTTGGAAGCAAACTTCAAAGATGCCTAGCACACAAAACTCTGAAGCCAGCTGTCGGAAATTCGGCAGATCCACTCCATAAACTATCAGATCTCCAAATTCTGCACACATCCACGAACGAACGAACAAACAAAAACCCCTGCAGTCATCTGGATTTTCCAGTGCTTCAACTTCACATATTTACAAACATTTCCCAAGGTACAAACTGAATCAGATGGAGCACAACTGCTCTGGATTAAATCAGGACCCCCTCTCCCAATGCCTTGAACCGGCCCCTAGACTGAACTGGAGATCCCCTGCACAGCTCTTGATATTCACAGCTGGCCTATTATGAAACTCCAGAGTTGCTCTCTCTCGCTCGCTCTTGCTCGCTCTCACTCTCCCCCACACACATACAAATACATATATGCACACCCCTCCCACTCCACAATCCATCACACACCCTAGGCAAAGTCAGGTCCTGTCTCTTCCTCTCCCGCCTCCCTGACTCCAGCGTTATCCAAGCGTTAAGGTTCTCGGGGTTGACCGTCGATCTCTTAAAGGGTAATTTGTCTGGGAACCAGCCAATCCCAGATCCTGCCCATGGCCGGTCCAATGAGAGCCAGGGGGACGCAACCCAGCAGCCTATTAGAGGCCCAATATTCTAATAAGCCTCATCTTTTATCCAAGGTAAGGTAGCTTCTCTTGAAGTTAAACTTGGTGGCTGGTCAGTCTTGGCTTCAGCACCCGGTGGACTCATGGGGGTCTGCTAGCCAGGCGTCCGATGGGCTTGAGCAACCGTTGCCTTGGCCAGCGGCTCTGCTCGGGTGGACCGTCTGCCTTGGCACTAGCCGAGGAGCTGGCCATTGAAGGTGGCGAGCCGACTCCTCTGGGGTCTTCGCGGAATGGCACGGCCGGAGCGCTGTGCACCCCTGGAAGCCTAAAAGCTGTCAGGCTGGCCATCCATCCTAAGTAGGCATCTTCTGTGGCATGCACCGGAGCTATGGACTCCAACCTGCAAGGGACGTTTCTGCTCAGCAGCCCTTCCCTGCCGGCCTTCCCTGAGATGAAAGCCCCCATGTGCCAGTATTCCGTGCAAAACTCCTTCTACAAGCTCAGCTCAACGGGGCTCAATGCCCAGCTGGCAGCTGGCACCCCTCATGGCATCAGCGATATCCTCAACAGGCCGGTCGCTCCTCCAAACGGCAGCCTGCTCTCCGGCTACTCCCACGTCGGTGGCTTCAACGGATTGGGCACCCAGAGCATTTACTATGGGTCCCAACTGGGCAGCTATTCCAAGACTGGCAGTGAATACGCAGCCAGGGGCAGGACCTGCTGGGCAGACACAGGACAGGAGTGGCTCGGAGGCCGGCCATGCAGCAACCGTAAGTGGCAAACGAGGCATGGGGGAGGTTGAGGTGTGTGTGTGTGTGGGGGGTGTAAGACACCATCACAGATCTAGCCTTCTGTGAGGAGAGAGGATCTTGAGGAGCAAACTTTTAGTCTTGGGGGGGTTCATTGAAACTGACGATCCAATTAATTATCCGGCCATTTAAGAGCATGGTTTCCTAATGAGTAAGTTGGGCAGTTCCCTGCCCCTAGAGGTCTACAGTCCTTGCAACAGGGAGGGAGCCAAAGCAACAAGGAAATGGAGACAGAGTTAAAGAGAGAGTTGGCGTCTCACCGTCTCCTTTGACATCTCCAACGCTGCCTAAATGGGAGATGAATTTAAGATAAGAAGCAGGATTGCTGCCTTTGTGAAAGTGAGGGGTGCCTCCTTTGGGTCGTGAGAGGACAAGGGACGGTGTGTCGTTGTTGTGGTGGTGGTCGTTATAGGGAAGCCTTTGATCATTCGGAGCCCTCCCGATGTGTGGGGCTACAATCCTAGCCACCTAGGCTGTCTGGGGGTAATGGGAGCTCTAGTCCGACACACAGAGAAAGCACCGATTTGGAGAAGACAGCTCTCCAAAGCTCTGGCATATATTGTGCTTTTACCGAGTCTATATCAGCTAATTTCCTGCCGTGAGGGGCCTGATAGTCTCAAGTGTCAAGGGGGTAGGAGATGGCAGGGGTGGGAGCAGGAGAAAGGTTACCAAGGTCCAACTAGATATCCCCTGAGCATGAGCAGAGTTTCCTTTGGTTTCATTCAATAGTCACAAACGGGCATTGCCTCGTCTCGTTTTGGAGAATTGGGGCATGCCTTTGGAGATGGAAACACACACACACACCCCAGGTACACCATGCTATATCAAACCTCTGCCCCTCCCCTTTCTTTCAAATATAACCACTGCAAAGAGAGCGAGAGAGAGACAGGGAGGGAGAGGGAGAAGTGGGGGGGAATACTAACCTTGTCCTCTACTAGGGTGTTCAGAGAGCCTATGTTTCCTTAGCCCTCATGCCCACCCCTGCAGTGCCCCCATTTCCTGGTCCGAATGTCCATTGCTCAGAACCAAGCACGCCACCCCACCCCCCTGTGCCCGGCTGCCAGGAAAAATGTCCTTTGGAATGATGGACGGCGCCAAGTAGCCGGCTTTTGCTGATACGGGGCTCAATAAAGAATGGTGCAAGGGGCATCCAGCGTGGGGCGGGCAGAGACGCCAAGGAGATGGCCCAAGAACAAGGAAGTGCCACCTCTGCCATTGGGCACCCAGTTGAATGGGAAAGAGGAGCTGTACCCAACCCTGTCCTCTAGGAGGTGCTGTGGAGCCCAAGACTCCTTTGCATTCCCTCGCATCCGCCACCCAGCCCATGCCAAAATCTCACCCCTGGGAGGACAAGGAGGAAATACTCGAAAGGTAGTCCTATGGAGGAGGGGAAGGATCTGCTCTCCATCACCCCAGAGGGCAGGGCACATCATCATAGGCTTCTAGCTCCATGATTCTGTGATTCTATGATAATCTCATTGATGGGCATCCTTAGTCCGGGAATTTAATATGGGGGTGCAGAAATGTCCCTCCTCACTACCAGAACGATCAGAGATGGCTGCCATTTTTGCATGCAACCTGGTTCTTGTGCTTTTTAACAACAGCCTGACACACCACTGCGACTCTTCCATCCCATGAGTAGGAAAAGTGGTAGCTGGGAAACAACTCAGCTCTTTCATGGCTAGGTTTCAAGGGCTGGGCCAGAGAAAGGACGTCCGCCCATCCCAAACATGTGATGTAGCAGGAGGGTTTGCAGAACTGACCAGTTAAACAAGAAGTTAGGTTCTTGAACTTCACCTTGGCCATAAACTCCCCATGGGCCCCTAGGCTACTAGGGTGGGCCAACGGCAGATTCTAGGTCCAGAAGATGCCCTCTAGGGGTTGGGGGTTAGGCTATTTCTGCAATTTTCTCATGTTCTGCCCCCTCTCCCTGGCACCCCGAGAAACACTGTGAGCTAGAAGGTGCAGTAAGAAAAAAATCTAATTAAAATATTCTGAGACTCAGAGCCACATTAGTGGGTGCAGCCTACCATATTCTAGGGGTGAGTGTGGGGGACGCCAGCAGTCTTGAAAACTTCCCACCCTTGCCTTAGCCACAACCACAATCTCTTGGTCTCAGCCTCTCCATCAGCACGGCTGGCGCTGTGAATACTGCCGGGCATGATGGTTATGTTGGAAGTATTACAACTAAACGAAGCAAAGGAGGAGAACATGCCTTCCAGACGACCTGGCCAACATTGGGTTGCAGCTCTCCGACACTACTGAATAGGCAGAGGGGGCAGTTTCCTTTCCACCATATCGGAAGGACCCTAAATCCTCCAGAAGTTACACATTAGGGGGCACATTAACTGGAACAAGAATTTTCCTGTTCAACATGTGTCCATCCTGTACACAAATACGCGGAGGAATGCAGAGAGCCCATGCTTAGCCTCAGAAAGCACAAAGCTGAGCCCTATGTCAATGGCAGCAGCCCTCGAGGCCATATCAGAGGAGTGGGGAAGCTTCAGATTAGGAACGGCCAATACCTCATCCCTTCAGAAGGCATGCAAGCTTGAGATCTCCCTGGAATCCAGCTGCTGCTTCAAGGCAAAGCCAATGTGATAACTGCAGCCAAACTACACATTACACATGCCTTGGGCCGACCGCTTGGCAAAATCTTGAAGACAACAATAGGGGTCCGGGGCATGGCGTCCATGATCTCATGGGGCAGGGCTTTGGGAGGTGACCAGAACAGGCTGCTTGGCAAGGATTGCAAAAGACAAGAGTTACTTCCGGGCCAGCTGATTCTGCAAAAGGGGCAGGAGAAAAAGGGGCAGGATCTGGGTAAAAACTGGCTAACTCAGAGCTGTGGGAGAAGGATAAACAGCTGGCAGCTGCCATGGAGGCAAGCGACTCTCTCTCTCTCTCTCTCTCTCTCTCTCTCTCTCTCTCTCTCACACACACACACACACACACACACACACACACACACACACACTTGACGAGTGGTGGGTTTTTCCAGGCCCTAAATTGCTGGCGAGACCCGTGGAAGGTTTACACCCAGCCTGCACAGATCCAAAGCCCTGCAGCCGTGCTCTTGGGGCTTCTGCAGCAAGACGGAATCAGGAGTCACCATGCTGGTGTTCCGTTGTCTTTGCCAAATTGGCCCCAACAGATCCCACTAGCCTTCTCCCCAGTTTCCTTTCCTCGTTCCTGCCTTTTCGGCAGGCAGACATCGCACAAACCCCAACGTTTCCACCAAACCAGGCAGCCTGGTGCCCGTTGTGGAAGCGTGGAGACAGCTGTCCAGATGTTTTCTGGAGGGGGGCATCCCTGCAAAGTCAACCTTTCTCCTCCTCCAACTCTGTTTACCCAGACATGGCCTCCCCACCTGGAGAAGCCCAACAAATTCCCAGAGACCTCCCAGATATTCCCCTGAGACTCGGCTTCTCTTCGACGGCCCACCACAAACTCAGGTTCGGGTTCTAGAGATGTGAAACCATTCCCACCTTCACGCCCTTGTAAAACCAGATTTACAAAGGGCCACGGCAGGTTAAGGGTCAGACCCTCGAGGTTTTAAAACAAAGCAAGCTACTTTGTCTGAGGTGGAGAAGTCCTGCTGTGACTTCAAATTCCCCTCTCCCTTAATGAATTTCCTCTTCTAATGACAGGTTATCTTTAATGCAGAACTAGCCTTCTAGCCCTCAAGACAGTAGCTGAGGGGCTCAGCCTGTTTCTTGATTATTTCGCACCAGACTGTCTGGGAAAGGCCCTCAGGGATGAATGTGTTATATGACGCATCGTTTCTAGAAAACTAGATGCTGTAGAGAATGGCGCTAGCCTAACTTTGTTTCTATTTTTTTTCCTTAAATGGGGAGATTATGGTTTAAAGCAAAACACTGAGACACATTTCATCCTGGCAACCATGATACGCAGCCTAAAGGGATACAGTCTAAGGAAGATGGTCTAGAATCTGGTGCTAGACGACACTTTTTGCTAAGTGTGTATAGCCCAGTGGTTGAAGTCTCTGGCTGCAGAGCCAGAGGTTGGGAGTTTGATTCCCCCACTGCTGTGCCTCCTGAAAGAAGAGCCAGCCTGGGTAACCTTGGGCCAGCTGCACCGTCCCAGGGCTCCCCCTAGAAGAAGGGAAGGGGAAACCACTTCTGTGTATTCTCTATCTATCAAGTCAGAATGGACTTGATTCTGTCTGGTGGCCAAGGTTTGAAACACTAATTAGGTTTTGTTTTTTTCTGGAAGGGGTGCCACAGCAAATAATGTTGCACTGCTATGGAAAGTTTGCACTGGTGGGTGACCTTGCTCCCCCTCTCCCTCCATACAGCCACAGGGCACGTGGTTGATGGCCTTCACAAGAAGAAGCACACACGGCCAACCTTCACAGGCCACCAGATTTTTGCACTTTACCTAGAAAAGGGTCGCCATAAGTCAGAATGGACTTGATTCTGTCTAGTGGCCAAAGGTTTGAAACACTAATTAGGTTTTGTTTTTTTCTGGAAGGGGTGCCACGGCAAATAATGTTGCACTGCTATGGAAAGTTTGCACTGGTGGGTGACCTTGCTCCCCCTCTCCCTCCATACAGCCACAGGGCACGTGGTTGATGGCCTTCACAAGAAGAAGCACACACGGCCAACCTTCACAGGCCACCAGATTTTTGCACTGGAGAAAACCTTTGAGCAGACCAAATACCTGGCTGGACCGGAGAGGGCACGGCTGGCATATTCCCTGGGCATGAGTGAATCTCAGGTCAAGGTGAGTTTCCCATACCCACACGCCTACACCTCCACCCATCCTTAAGACCAGAACAGGGAAGAGGAAGAGGATCCGTGATGGTGTTGATAGACATGGTCTATAGCTAAGGTCAGCATCTGCTAGCCCTTGGGCCAAATCTGGTCTCTAAAAAGTCCTGCCTGCTTTCCCAAGTTCCCAACGACGTCTTTACTAACATGGGGAACTCAGAGTGCAGCTGCGCCAGCGCCACCACCAGCAGAATAGCTGAAAGAATATTCCATGTGCGTGATTAAACCTGGGCACAGGTGGTCCCACGCCACCAATGGGAGTTTTGTGGAACCCTCTAGGGAAATGGGCTGCCGTGAGCCCAGCTTGGATGGAACCACTGGAGTGTTTAGGGGGAAAGCGCTGGACTATCGCCCAGGAAATGCACGTGGCAGTCCCGAATGAGCCACTACACTCCTTTCTCACCCTACCGGACTGTTGGGAGGAGAAAGGGGAGCCAAGATGTGCCTCAACATTTAGTTCACTGGAGGGAAAACAGGAGAGAAATGGGACCTACTTTCATGCATTATCAAAAATTTAATAAAATCAAATCCCTGCAGGGGCTGGGCAGGACTGATGCTTTTACAAGCACCAAGTTCACGGCACGTTCTCCTACTTTTAAGGTTGCCAGCAGGCTAGGAAAACCCTTTTTAAAAGGGGGGAGGAGAGAACTTTCACAAAGATGACGTCTGCTTTAACAAAAGTGAGGTGGTCAGAAATTAGATGGTCTACGCATCATTCACGCAACCAGTAACACCACGGGGAGGCAAGGCCTGTGTTGAAAGGGCAAGTAGGAGGACCCAGCCACTAATATACTTTGGATCTGAGTTTGCAACCACACACTTGCAAAAAATAAAATAAAAATTGCCCAATCTCGAGAGGGCCTAAAGCACACGGTTTGCAGCCGGCCTCCTGTTTAAAGCGGCTTTGCTTACTTATCAAAAGCCCCAGCTGTTTCAGAATTATTCATGCATTAATATGTAGCGGGAGATTTATTCCTGCTTTGAATTACGGTAATATTGAACCATTTAGAAGTTTGGAAATTAGGAACACTTTATCAAAAGGTTCTTACCGTTTGGACACCACTGTTTTGCAAAAAAAAAAAAAAAAAAAAACAATTAGGAACACTTTATCAAAAGGTTATTACTGTTTGGACACCGCTGTTTTGCAAAAAAAAAAAAATGATAATGACAGATCAGAGCCGAGGTTCCGTTTTGTTTCCCTCTCAAGGCATGCAGAAGTAACCCAATGAAGTTACATTGCCACCCAATTAAAGAAACCATGCTCAATCATGTGAGATTTAGCCAATTCATTAGTTACACAGGCCTCTGTGCATTCTTTATGTCCATATACAGCATGTCTGAGGTGTTTTCACATAACACAGAGACATGTTACCGCGAGTATAAATTTGCAGACGCAGCTGGTCGCATAATGAGAAGGAAAACAGGACCTGTTCCTACAGTGGACCTGCAACCAATAGTATTTGTACTGAAAATACTTTAAAAAAATGAAAGCCTGTGACCCAGTTAATTGCGGGAAGGAGACTCTTAATTGTCAGGAGTGAGCTGACTGGTCAAGCGAGGTGATTGATCCATCACCTAAATGTTTTAGTCATAAAATCAAGACCATTCAATGAAAACCTTGTCCGGACCTTCTCCTTATAAGCTATAAGCTGGTGTAAGGTTGCCAACTTTTCTCCACGCACAACAATTTGGTGTTAAACACAGTAACGCAGAAATTCAGTGGATGCCTTTTAAAAAAAATTTTCATGGTGAGCTGCTGTAGCGCCGGGGGCGGGGAAAACGCTCACCTGCCAAATTCCTCATTTTTGTTTTGCATAGAAGCTGTGCGGGGCGAAGAGTTGGCGACTTTAACCAGAATGCCATTTTTGCACTAGGTAGCCCTGACTCCCTGCATCCCCACCTGTCCTTCCCAGGTGTGGTTCCAGAACCGACGCACCAAATGGAGGAAGAAAAGTGCCCTGGAGCCGTGCGCCGCCTCTCCCCGAGCCGGGGCTGGACCAGGCGAGCGCTCCGTCTCCGATGAGGATGATGAATACAACAAGCCCCTGGACCCTGACTCGGATGACGAGAAGATCCGTCTCCTGTTGCGCAAACATCGGGCGGCCTTCTCTGTTCTCGGCCTGGGTTCTCATAGTGGCTGAGGGGTTCTGCTCATCACTGGCAGAGGGGGAGGCCTTCGCCCTGACTGGGGAGAGGCGGCATCCTGCACGTTGGACTTGAGGGATTCAGGATGAGGGTGGGAGGGAAGGGAGACCGCGGCGGTCTGGGCCCATCCAGGGGCCCCCTCCTCAAGGAGGAGGCCCTTTAAAAAAAAGAGGTATGAGAGTTATCTAGTCCAAAGTCAACCCAGACCGATAGCCGTCAAAGCTGCATGAGAAACCTCTTGAGCTAGGGAGACGGACCAAAGGTTTTGATGACACTCCTGGCTTTTAGACATTTCAGTTTTCTTGGCCCGCCCCTTGAGTTTTCATCAGGTTGGCGGCCTTGTTTTTCGGCTGGCAAGTATAAGTTTCATTGTGTACCTATTCATCCTTCATTCTTTTAATCAAAAGAATATAGCACCTATTTTAAAAGCACTTGCAAAGTGGCCCCATAGCAGAAGTATGTTGTTGGTGGTGTTGTTGGTGACATGAGCGCTGGCCAATAGACACCTCGCACATTGATTATGCCCGGGATCAGACTGCAGAACTGTTTCCCTCTTTTCTTTAGAGCTTGCCCCAGGAGGGAAAAGGTGTCTTTTTGCAGGTATTTACGACCGGCATTTCTCTTAAAATATTGCTTCTGTCTTTGCTCTTCTGAGGTGGGTCTCAACCATGTCTTCAATTTTAGGGACCAGAATGGAAAGCCATGACACGAGCATAATAAATAATCCCTAGTGGGTGTAGAGCCCCAGTTTCCAAGGAATGTTTTTTCATAGGTCTAGAAATTTGTCTGCCTAGTATCAATCCGAAATGCAACTTTTCCAAGCTCTGATCTATACTGAGGTCCCCCAGATGTTCTGGATTCTAGTTCTAGAATTCCCTGTCAACTGACTGGTGGATTATGGGAGTTGTAATCCCACACATCTGGAAGGCACCAGGTTGTGGAAGGCTGGTCTACATCCAGATGACTTCAGTTGGTTCAAGAATCCTTTCCCCCCCCACAAGGCAGGCAAGAGGGAGCTCCATTTTCAACCATATCATCCAACTAGCATCACCATTAATTGACTTGAGGAAGCCATGAATGATCCTTGAATGATCAAGTTGATATTCACGTCTAATGTAGATGCTCCTAGAATTTAGCAAGGCACCGTTTAGAGTGGAGAAGTCTGATCAGGGCAGCTTCTCCTATCTAAGGTCTGTTGCTGCAATTCAGGCAACCTAAAAACCTTGTTTGTTTTAAATACCCTGCCTCAAACCCAGTGCATACAGAAGGAAGTATAAATTTACCTTGAATCAATAGGACAGTTTCCGAGTGATGCTACTACATCCTTCTCCAAAATCAGCTGCGCTGGTTTTCCTGCCCAGACAAAAGACAACAAAGGAACAGGTTAAATATACTGTAGTTGTAGATAAAACCCAGATTCTACCCCTGCCTTGTAATGATAAATGTGGCATTTAAAGCTGCAATCAGCTGCATTTTTCCTTGCTTTCTGGCTGTGTGTCTCGGTGAAGACGACATACTTCGAAATAAGCATACCTCCATCTGACTCGCAAACTGAAAACTGCCATAACTCATCATCCTCAAAAACCTAACAAACAGCCTCTCCGTACATTAAAAACAAAACAAAAAACAGACCAAATGGGTATTTTGAGCATTTTGCACACAGAAATAGTTTAAATTATTCTGGCTTATATCCTTATAGGAAAGGTTGGTTGGTTGTTGTTTTTCCCCTGAACCAGGGAAGGAATTTTATTTACTTGAGGTTCATACAGAAATAGAAACCCCTGTTGAAAGCAGAAAGAGTTTAAATCACGATGGGTTTGTTTGGTTTTTATTAAAAAGCATGTAAGAACTTTGTTTTGAGAGAATTCCACACCAATAAAAAGTATTTGCCACTGAAGGGGAAATGGTGGGTTTGGAGACCATTCAAAAATCCAGGCACAAGTTGAGGTGTTACTTCTAAAAGTTTGCTTTAAAATTTCTTTTGCCAAATGGACATTTTATTTGCCAGATGACCATCTGGCCTCCAGTCTTAGTGGCTAGCACAGTAGCCAAAAAAACCCCACTGGACATCCTTGACGGGCTGGAATTGATGATCCATAGGGTCCCTACCAGATGACAATCTGGCCTCCATTGTTAGTGGCTAGCACAGTAGCCAAAAACCCCACTGGACATTCTTGACAGGCTGGAATTGATGATCCATAGGGTCCCTTCAAGCTCTGCCATTCTAAGATTATTATTAAACCATAAATGACAAATGGAAATCTTGGTGTACGTGTTCCCAAGTTAGAGATGCAGGACAGAAAGGGAAGCGGTCGGCATAAAACAGTAAAATGGGATTCAGCCTGAAGATGTCCTGGGCAGGAGAAGGTTCTTAGCTGATCCACTCTGTCGGTTTAACTTAGATTCCATTTTTTTTGCCAATGCTCTCCCAGCTGCATTTACTGTTCTCAAAGCTGTCTTCTCCGTGCACGTCGTTTGGCATGCTGCATGTTGGGATTGGTTTCAAGGGTCAAGTTAGATGTTCAGCAGAGATCTGTTGTTGCTGCCGATTATGAAAAGGAGAAATATATTGAATTTAACTGTGTCCACTGTAGCAGACACTGCTGGGTAAAACGCAGTGTAGTCACTTCCTCCATTGGACAGTCTGGCACATGAACTAGATGGTCATCATGCGGCCACAATCTGCTATATCAAGTTATGGAAAAATGTCCCTGATCCCCAATAAGATACTAGCAATTGAGAAGTTGACCATCACCCCCCCTTTTTTTTTTGTTCTTTTATGTGGGAACTGGATCTCCAAGCAGAAAAGACAGGAAGGTAAAACTGGGGAACAAAAAGCAGGCATAACGCTGGTGTCTCAAAGTCTCCATTTGCGTGGCCCTCTAATAATAAAACAGCCAGGCTATTTTCTAGAACTCATCACCCTATATATGCTGAGTTGAATATGCATGTTGGAGTGGAACTGAATTTTACTGTTTTTTCCTTCACACTTCAAAATTAACCTCATTTGAGAGAACAGAGGACCAGCGGGCATGTGCAGAGCGGGTTTTTCCCCCTGAACACTCTTTTTCACTAGTTCACACATACCCAAGCCTCAAAAGTAAAAGCTTTCCCATCCAGGAAGTTGAGGATCCCATATGTCTAGGATTTGAAAAATGGCTTTTTTTCCAAACCCCATCCCTCTACCTGCAAGCAGCTGGCCAACAACATTGACAAGATCTGGGTTTGTTGTAACAGCTGTGTCAACAAACCCAAGTTTGGAGCTTGCTGTACAAAACCCAGTCTGTTAGCCATAGATATGATTGACGGACCTTGGATACTCAAGCACCTTCCACTGCAGCCTCAACACAGCAGCTAAAAGTTGTTGAGTTTGAGGGCCGGTTGGAAGACTGGCTACACTTGGTTGGTTGTGTCCCCGCCTTGCTTGTGTGGGTTCCTGGCCCTCCTGAACCCCACCTTCAGTCCTGAGATAAACCCAGCTCTGCCTTTGCCTGTTGTGGCTTTTTAAAAATGCCCAGGGGCATCTTTCAGAGTTAGCAACTGGAAATCCTGAAAAGGGAGATGTGGGCGATGCATGTGGGAAGGTGGACATCTTGGGTGAGCTCCACTGTAAATACAGGTTGTGGGAATTGTCCTCAAGGCTAAAACCTTGAAGTGTTTCGGGCCCCATTCTTTCTTTTTGCTGATGTGAAGCTTAGTGTGTGGCTGTTACTGAGGAAAGGTGAAAGGTTCCTAGCTTTTGACTGAACAGCCCCCTTTGGATTGGAAAGGCAACATATAAATTCATTCAAAAAAAACTAAAGCCATTCATTTTGGGGCAGGGGAGCCTGTGCATTCTCAAATCAGTTGCCAGAAAACCAGAAACCAAGGCCAGATCCTGTTAAAGCACGGCATTCATTAGGTAAAAGATTTGCACAGTTTAGCGGTGTGCCCATGGCACGTGTGATGGTCAGTGCAAGCAGGAGCCAACTGGTTGTGCAACGGACAGCCACACTGTGCAAAACACTCAAGCCATTAACAGGGCTTGGCGCAGGTATTTCAACAGGATTCTCGCCTTTGTACTAATGTTGACATTTCGGAGCACCGAGACTCAGGTTGCAAACAGACACAGCTTTCTCCTGCAGCTTGGTCTGCTTCGAGGACTGGCTGGTTTGCTCCTTTCTCCAGCAACTGCATGGCCGACAGGCAGTTGTGAACCAGCCCATCCCTTATCTAATCCTACGCGAACCTTTTAGGGTCTTTTTTGGTGGCTACTGTGGGTTTTTTGTGTGTGCGCATATGGGATCGCTCTGTTTTCAGCTCTAGCTGGTGTGATTGCCCGGATTAAACTGAAGGAGTCAGCTGGCTGTCACTTTGCAAAAACAATCTAATTAGTTATTTGGAAATTTAAAGCTTCCTCCCATTCTCCCACGGAGGGGGAAATGAGAAGAGGATGAAAAGGAGTTTTTAAAAAAAAGTCCTTTGTGAGCAGTGCTGAACTGGCTGATGGTTTCTAAAACTGCAGCTTCCTCTCACTCACCCACCGAGGGGAGACTGGAGGGGCTGGGATTCTTTCCTAGTTAAATTTCCCCCACTTTTTTTCTTTCCCTCTAAGGGGGAGAAGATCGTTTTTAATGTTTACGTGCTTTTAATAATTCAGTTGTATTTTAATTAGCATACAAGATTAATTGCTTTTTAATATTTAACTTATTATGTTTTTTAATTCTATTCTTTTTAATATTGTGAACTGCCTGAGGTCCCCTTATCAGGAGAAAGATGGCCTAGAAATAAAACAAACACCTACTGTAAATAAGGTTGCTCAAGGAGTGATGTGCTGCCCCCCAAATCACCTTATCCTTGTGCATATATGAAAGGACCCCCCCCCACACACACACAAATGACAGTGTCCCAGAGTGACCCTGTTTAACTGGATCTAGCCCCATCCAAGCTGGCCATGTGGTTGCACCCTCAGTAATGCTTGCCTGAAAAGAAGCAGAAGAACATCACACAAGCCAGCTTTGAGGGTCAAATACAACATGGCCAAAGTCTTACACTCAGCTTTTTTTTGCAAGGCCTGTCTTTCTACAATCTTGAACATGAGTCCAGCTGTTCCCAAGGCTCCTTCCTTGTAGGGCTGGAGGGAAAAGCCCCTTTTGCCCAAGAGAAAGCAAAGGACAGCGTACTTCCACTTTCTCTGTATGTTACGGGGCTGATTGAGTCGTCCCCGAATGGAATTTCAATATTTGCAAAGGACTAGCAATGAGATGCATTTTAAAAGCAGCGGGTAACCTAAATGGAATTTTGGATACTGGACACAAAAAATGCCCTAAATGAAATGTCCAGCCTCTATCTATCTATAGAAGCTCTGTAACATGAGGGTGTAAAGTCTGCACGCCAGAAGTGTTTCTTATTTTTGAAATTGTTCAGTCGTACGTCCTTGCAACGTGACCCTGAGGTTTGTTTCATGCACCAGTTTAGTGTTTTTAAACATATAAGTGTGATAGTGAACCAGCCTCAGATTTCTGTGGAACTCACTTTGAGACACCCACGTATGGCTCTATTGCAAGTTTTTATGAGGTAAATGCCTCCTGGTGTACAGTATTCATGAGGTAAAATAATACAGTACTAGGTTTAACTGCCTAATATTAAAATAGTGCCAGCCTGTAGCAAAATTATAATAAAAAAAAGAGAGAGGAACATTTCTATTTATGAGGTAAAAAGAGTCTTAACTATAATTTATGGAAAAAAATGGGTGGAAAAATCACATAACTCTGAGGTAAAATGGCACTCAAAATGCGTCAATGTGATTAAAGGGTGCTTTCTCCCCTAGTTTGCATGCTAGCTGTTGGAAACCTAGCAAATTCATACCCCCTTCTTAAATTTCAGAGAGGTAGTTGTGTTAGGCTGTTGCAGCGACAATAAAACCCAACCACGTCTGGAGAAGTGGATGGTCCACCATGAAAACTCACCATGAAATAAATCTGTTAGTCTCAAAGGTGCCGCTGTACTGCTGTCTTTCTTTCTGTTTCTGTTCTGTGCTTTCTCAGAGTTTTCCTACCAATTCTATGGGATATACTTTGGCTCTCCTGCTAGCCTCTGCTTGAATTGTGAACATTTGAGTATTGCAGGATTGCAACAATTGTTGTGTCTTTTACTAGGTTGTGAGGAGATACATGTTACACAAATGGCAAGGAAAGTGTTTGTCAACACTGCATTCTAAATATTGAATTTTGTGGCAATACTGATTGATATCTCATGTTGTTGGGTTTGTTTGGGCCTCAACAAAGGTATCCATGAATGCGCCGTTTTAGACAGCTTATCAACCTTTTCTAGAAGATCTTAGGCTCCCTTTTCCTCTTCATTCCTCAGCTGACTTAAAAAGAAACTATGAAAGTTAAAAGGGTGCCCTTGGTAGCCAGATGGGTGGTATAACATTCAAATCAAATCAAATAAAAAAAATGAATGAATGAATGAATGAATGAATGAATGAATGAATGAATATTCCAATGTTGTGGGTGGGGTGAGTCTTTTCTAGTCCCACTACCTTTCTCTCATGCCCAGCACTATTTTATTAGTCACCTTGGGCATCTTCTGACGGAGCTTTTGCTGAGCTTTTCTTGTGAACTAGATTTTATGTAAATTGGCAGATGGAATCCTGTCGGATACAAAAAAATTGAAATAATCTAAGGCTTCCCTCATTTGTTTCAACTCGTGGGCAGGATCTGGCCTGCATTTCCTTTGTGTGGCTTGGCCTCATGAAGCCACAGGTAGATGGACAATCTTTAGGATTCTGGGAAATAACGTAGCATAAGATCCAGAGCTTGGCATCGCTGCCATTTTGTACTTGTTGTTTAGTCGTTCAGTCGTGTCCGACTCTTTGTGACCCCATGGACGAGAGCACGCCAGGCCCTCCTGCCTTCCACTGCCTCCTGGAGTTGGGTCAAAGTCATGTTGGTCGCTTTGATGACGCTGTCCAGCCATCTCATCCTCTGTCGTCCCCTTCTCCTCCTGCCCTCACACTTTCCTAACATCAAGGTCTTTTCCAGGGAGTCTTCTCTTCTCATGAGATGGCCAAAGTATCGGAGCCTCAGCTTCAGGATCTGTCCTTCCAGTTAGCACTTGGCCATTTTGTACTAAATTCTCCCAAATGCAATGGGATGGTGTGAGGGAGAGATTCGTTGTAGGTGTTTTTTTTAATGAATGGTTCAAAGTTTTGGTTGAATGCAGCCAAGAGACAGAAGTGAAGGCAGGTGGGTGAGGTTTCCTCCGTCACTGGCTCTTGCTGCTCTCCTCCTGTGATTTTTCTTGGATCTTGCCGGAGACACACAAGGTACGAGTTCAAAAGTCACTCATTAGGCCTCTTGCTGGAACATATGAGCACACACAATCAATCTCAATTTATCTTGGGCTGGCTAGGAAAAGACCATTGAGCTGTCAAGACTGCAGGATTGATGCTGTGTCAATAGTGGTGGAGTATTTGCTCACACTTCTGTCCTGCCTAGAGAAGGGTGTGTGCACGCACATGGGTGTCACAGGCCATCTGGTGTCAGAGCATTGCAGCAATTCCAGTTGCAGTCTTGTATTGAGAGCAGTGTGTTACAGGGATCTACAATGAGCTCAACCAGCATGCTATGGATCATGCAGTCCTTTGACATGGACCAGCCTAATGTCCAGTCTTTTCACATTCACTTCCTCAGAGGCTTGGTGAGGGCCGTGTGCCAGGCAGAACGGTGCTACTGGACTATAGCTTAAATGTCCTTTAGCCTGCAGGCTTGCATGACAGCTCCTCAAATCCCTCAACCCGCATGTTTGTTTCCGAACTTTTGTGTGCAATGTTCACTATGCTTTCTGCACACTTGACGTGCAATGTTGTGTTATGTGGAGGAAAGGCTGGTTTTACTGGAAAAAGCAATTTCTTTAAATTGTTTTAAATTAAAAAAGCCACACATTTCCTCCACCAGGGCTTTTGTTTAAAAATGCACTAAATTGCTGGATTTACCTTGGCAGCACAAGAACACGAATGATAAAAACATAAATGACCAAATATTAAATGGAAAGAAAATTAAAACAACACAGACCAGAACGACTAGAAAGGGAGTGTGTTTTCCTCTCTTTTAGATCAATGTTTTAATCTGCATTAAGAGGCATCTCAGTGTAAATGTTGCTGCATCTTATCAATTGGTGTATATTTGTGAGCCCTGTCCGCCCCTGCACAAGCAGCGTAAGCTATTTTCCAGGCAGCCGGTTGTGCAGCTAGCCATCCCCCGGTTGCACAACCAATTGTGTTAAGCAGCAGGCAGAGTGAAAAATTTAATAGCTACATGCACAATGTCTTTACACATGCAAAAAAACCAGCTGAATCTTAGCCCTAGACTGTACGTAATGCTCTCAAAACCACTTTTATTGCCACAGTTCCATCCTATGCAACCCTGAGATTTGTTGCTTGTTGAAATACCTTGATTTTTTTCCCCACTAGAAACCCCCACTCCTGAACTTTCCCGAACCACAGCAGAAAGCTCTGAGCGCATCACCAAATTATAATTTCCCCAGGTAGACTCATAGCAGTTAAACTGATAACAAACTGCTATAGATCATACTGTGTGGAAACAGTGATGTCAAAGCCACGAAATCCAGAAGAAAGCCCGCTATCCAAAAGCTGCTTTTGCGCATACCTCTAATGCACACACCTGTTCTGTGCAAATGGACCGCCTGCTTTACTGGGCAATGGGAAAAAGAAATCCTGCAGGTAAGCCCAGATAATTTCTGTGAGTCCTGTAGTAGTATAATGAATTCTTGCTCTATAAAGTTAACCCTGTGTTCCTAATCTCATGTCCTCCAGATGTGCTGGTCTACACCCTCCAGCTCCCATACCTGGTTTGGGGATTTTGTGCATTATTATTCAACACATCTAAGAAAGCATCAGATTAAAGAAGGCTGGGATGTTGCATTTGTGTGGGTTCCCCAAAATAATTTTACCTGTCTGCTCCGGAACGCCCATGTAAAAAGAATCCATTCCTAGTTGAATTCTGAAACCCTGTGCAAGTTTTACACCTGCCCCATGGCAAGAGAGAAAGAAAGCAGCACCAGCCTTCCATGGCAGCTGTTCAGAAGGAAACACCACTATGGAACCATGAACTAGGAAAATCAATGGCAGATAAGGGGCATCATAGAACAATTAGTAAAGGGTGTGAATGAAAGATAGTGGGATGCTGGTGTATCAAGTTAATTGCCTATGCCCAGCCTAGCTGGGTCTTTTATTGCTTCCTTCCTCTCTTCTCTGTAGGCTGTACGATGACCACCCTCTTTCCCAGGGACATGCTGGAAGAAATTCTAAGTACAGCGTTGTGTTTCTCTTTTTTAAACCTCGCTCCAGCACCTAAACTTTAATCTCCCATTTTTCAGGCATAAAAGCAGTTGTGCTCCTCTGAACATCCTTCTGCAAAGCAATTCAGTACGCTGTGCTTTCACTCAAGGGGGTGTGCGCATCCCACAGCGGCAAAATCCCCATTGTGTTTCAGAAGGAGAGACCCGGCCGTGGCATCTTGGTCATACTCCAGCATGCTTTCACTCTCTCCTTCCCCAGCAATTTTCTAAGCATGTTTAGAAAAACCCACACCCAGTGTTTTATAGTGGGTAGAGTGATGGAATAGGACTCCAGAGACCAGGGTTCAGATCTCCACTTGTCCATGGAAACTAGCTGGGGGAGTCAAACTGGTAAAACCACACCTTAAATATTTCACTTGGTTTTAAAATTCTATTATAAGGGTTGTTATAAGGGTTAACAGCAAACTAGAAAAACCCAGTATTATGATTTGGACTAAACATACCTTACTGACTGCCAACGTTTTAAATGATTACTAAAAATATCTTAATCATTTTAGCAGACCCAGAAGGGACCCTATGAATCATAACGTCCAGCCCCTATCAAGGAGACACAGTGTGGAATTGAACTCTGAAACTCTGGCTCTAGAGCCAGACACCAACATGTAGTAGTGCAAACTTCAGAAACAATTCAGTATATAAAATTCCCAAACATGCTGCTTTTCAAGTCTATTTAGCCATTTTAGTGTCCATTTCTTCCTCTACTCCAGTGGTTTCCCCAGATGTTCTTAGGCTAAAACTCCCAGAAGCCTTCACCACTAGCTGTGCTGACCAAGATTTCTGTAGTCCAAGAACATCGGGGGATCCAAGACTGGGAACCACTGCTTCATTAAATTGAGTGCCAACAACAATATATTCCAGGCTACAATAGCTAAAATCCTTTTACTTAAAACAGTAGGTCACATGAGAGCAGGCTCATTGAAATCAGTTGGGGGGTGTTGGTGAGTCAACTCACCCACCATTTCCCTTGTTTCAAGTGGGCCTCCTCTAGTTGTGACTTACTTCAGCTTAGTAGTCCGTAGCTAGAGGGGCCCATTTGAATCAATGGAACCTACAGAATCTTTGACTTATCAAATCCCCACTGATTGAATGGGTCTGCTCCAGTGTTATAGAGCAGACCCATTGAATCAGTGCATAACCCTGCGTCTTATGCAAAGCCACAGGGTTTAGTCATTAGTTCATTCTTAAGCTTTTAAAACCCTTCTGAGAATTGTTTTAACATTTTTCACACACACACAAAAAAAATCCACACCTTCCCTTTTATCATCTATGTTTCTTGTCTCTTTTTCTCTTGCTAATGTTTCTTCTCTTTTCCACTAGCTTTCCCCCGGCTGCTGTGCCAAATGCCCTTTCTCCTCAATTCAAGCTACTTTGAAGCTCTGGTTTCAATCAGACATAAATGCCAGATAGCTCACTCAATGATCCATAGAGTCCCTTCCAAATGTGCAGTTCTAAGATGATAATGAGATCTTGGAACTAACTAGTTCCCAAGTAAAATAGTTGCAGTTAGTTAGTTTTGGGTGGTGAGTAAAGAAATAAGCATGAAGAATTTGCCCTAAATCCATTTGCTATAGTAGATTGAGAGTAGATCTCTCTCTCTCTCTCTCTATCTATATATGAATGTGTGTATATATATATAAATGAAACATAAATATCTCTCTGTATCTATATCTATCTATCTATCTATCAATGTGTGTATATATATATATACATGAAACATAAATATCTCTCTATATCTATATCTATATCTATCTCTATCTATCTATGGCATAAAAAGAGATAAAAAAGATCTACTCTCTTTTATGGCATCTCTCCATATGTTTCATAAATATATATGACTTACGCTTACCAGGGGAGCCCTGGGACTGTGCAGCTTGCCCTAGGCTACCCAGGCTGACTCTAGTCACAGGAGGGACAGTGGAGAAATCGAACTTCCAACCTCTGGCTTTGCAGCCAGATACTCGAACCACTGAACTATCCAGCCAGCTGCAACCCCCTAAATCTCTCAGCCAGCAGGGCTACCTAGATACTTTTCAGGATTTCCAGAATCCTTGACTACCAGGTTGCTGATTTGGTTGGGAACTGCAGCCCCCAAATCTAGACCGCCTGAGCTCTGTCTGTGGGGAGTGGAGGCGCCAAGGTGGGTCTGCCTATGGTGCACACAGGATACACACCTGGTTAGGAAGCTGCTGCTTCCTCTGGCCGCTGTTGTCGAGCGGGCATCTCTCTGTCCGTGGCTGGCTCCAGGCTCCTCCTGCCGCTGGAATATGTTTTTGACATTTTCTAAGCTGTTTGGCATCGCTGACAATTTTTAATGTACTAACTGCCTGGTCCAGTGAGCTGATTAATTGGTGCTGGGGAGATCAATACAAAACAGAAAATTAAAACAATTTTAAAGTGATTAAGTAGTTTAACACCTGTCTGCCACACCGTCAGTGGGGGAAGAAAAATACAGCAGGTGGCCAAAGGGCCCGGCGCAGCCAGAGAGGATGACAAATGGCATCTCAGGGGCTAGCTGGACCACTTCGGTCCCAAGGTGCCTGGGCCACAGGGAGAAAAAAACCCACCAACTTTCATTTCCATTGCCCTTCCTTACTCACTCAGTAAGAAACAACTCAATCCCTCCTGGCTTTCGGGTTTTTGAGGGAGGTTTTGGCCCCTTTCCTGACTGGTCAAGCTGTAGGACGTACCCGTTGAAGGTATAGGAGGAAAATGTGCAGGAGACAAAATCGCTTGTGAAACATTTCCTCTACTGACGGGGCAGGACTCAAATCACAGAGTTGTTGAGACAGAAGGGGTGCTGAGGGTCATCTAGTCCAGCCCCCTGCCATATAGGAATCCACAGCCAAGGCATTTTGGGCAGGATGGCCGTTCCATCCCAGCACTATTTTGAAACCTTCCAAGAAGAAGAGCGTCCACCATGTTCTGAGGCATTCTGTTCTCAGAATGATTTTCTCTATGTCTTTTTCCTGTAATTTGAATCTATAATGACAGGTGCTCTGCTCTGGAGCAGTGGTTTCCAACCTTGGAGAACGCAGGTGTTCTTGAACTACAGTTCCCAGAAGCCTTCACCACCCGCTGTGGTGGCCCTGGTTTCTGGGAGTTGCAGTAGTCCAAAGATGATCCTCCTAACATTTAGTCTCAATCTCTTTTTCTAAACCCCACCAACAACTCCAGTTGTGATAAGGTGATTAAAATGTCTTGTGAGCATGTGATGGGGGAGCCAAAACATGTCTCACACAGAGGTACCCCAAGCTCAGCAGCAGCTCCAGATCAACTGAATTTAAACCCAGATCATGACCCTGCATAACACAGGAAACAGGCAGGATTAACAGCTGTCTGCTCAAAACCATGTTTTAATTATTTGCTATAGTTCCTCACTCTATTTGGGGCCCAAGAGGGTTTTCACTGTGTATTTGACATTGCAGACAGGAAAAATGAAAAATATAATTCAGAACCATAACTCAACTGAAAAAGTTTACTTTTAAGACTTATAACTCCCATAACCCTCCAGCAAAAGTTAGGAGATTCTGAGAATGCTAGTTCCCCACCCTTAAATAAATGTTTCCAAATTCTGAACCACAGTTTCAGTAGATAATAACCAACAGTGGAACTAAAGCTGGAAATTATTAAAACCACTTATTAAAAAACAGGACCTATGAGGGTAAATAAAACAGACTCTTACTCAAAAGGATAAGAGACAAATGCTAAGCACACCTTCATCAGTCCTAATACCTTGGGCTAATTTTAGTTCAAGTTATTTTAAGTACCGGGACCTTTTCAGGACAGGCATCCTACCACAGCAGCTTAAAACACTACAAAACAAAACAAAAATATAATACAACAGAATTTTAAAACTACAAATCACAGGAACAGTTAAAGCTTTTCAAAATACCATGCGGCCAGCAACGTTTTAAAAACCAGTAACACCCAATGTCATCTAACCCCATAAAATGATTAACTAGAAACCAATTTTTTTTTTTACAATCAAAGCTACAGCATGTTAAATCCTGTCCATTTGACACTTATCTGTTAAACTGGGAGAGTTTATTAAATACGGGGCTGGCTCCTACCTGCTTCATGTAAGATTCTGGACTTGTGAACTCTGTAGTTTTGCCATTAGCAGTGAGAGGAATAAGGACAGGTGATCTGCATAGCCTAGAGAAAAAGGGGGCCAGACTTTAATGGCTGTAGATTAGCTTCTGTTAAAGGCATAGGGACAAACCACTGTGAGCCATTTTCTTAGCTAGCAAATCGGACTGGAGTGCAGTAGATGTTTAGCTGCATTGTGCATGGCAGGGAGCGCCCTGATCCCTTCCATGAACCCAACATTGTTGGGGATCCAAAGGGCTTCTCCTCTCCTTCAACCTCAATGGGTCAAAGGAATGTCCACCTTTCTGTCTTCAAATGCAGGAAGACTGGCTTCCTATACCTTTAACAGATGTGTGGAGAAGATTCCAGCAGGTGTAGCCTTAAAAGCTGCACCTGCTGAAACTTCCTTCTTTATGGGGCTGTTAAAGGCGGAGGAGCCCTGTCCTCTTTTTCATAGGGTCGTTCTACAGATTCGGATGTTATCAGAATCTGGAGCCCCTTCCAACATGACAGCTTGAGACATATGATAAAAGAGAGGGGGAAAATATGACAAATGGCTCTCTAGATTTATGGGTTGTGAGGTGGGAAAAATCCTGGGAGTCAGGCCTCTCTTTGCAAAACTAGGGTGATATTCATAGCGACAAAGTTTTGTGGGTGAAAAGGTAGAATTTGGTGCCGGAATTGAGTTCACCAGCCATGCTTACAATGTTCTGTGTTAATATGGATTTTTTAAAGTTCTCAAGGTGGTAAAACAGCTTTTGAAACATTTGAACACGGGGTGATATCTTCTGTGCTGTCAAGTGGCTTCTGACTCATGGTACCCTATGAAGGTGGGCTCTCCAAAAGGTCCCATCCTCAACAGCCTTGTCCAGCTCTTGTAAACCCAAGCCTGAGGTTTCCTATAGGGAATCGGTCCATCTCACATTTGTTTCTCCTCTTTTCCTGCTGCCCTCAACGTTCATGGTTTTCTAGTGTCTGGAGAATACATTTTGAGCACCACACATAGTATAAGCTGAGTGCAATATGCTAAATATTGGATACCACCTGTTCCTCTACATTGCTATGGAAATCTGAAGAGGTTAAAGGATTCTGGATTTCTATAAAGCAGTACAAAAAACTCTATTCATATTGCCACTTTTTTTGTTACATGTTATCCAATTTCATAATTATTTATTTTTTTAAAAAAATTACCCCGCCTTTTTCCTTTAAAAGAACTGAAGGCAGCTTACAGCATTAACAGGTCTTCGCCTGCATGTGGAAGAATGGCAAAGACAGGGCCCAGCTGGCTTCCAGTGGGAGGGAGTTCCACAGTCTGGGAGCAGCCACAGAGAAGGTCCTCTCTTGTGTCCCCACCAAACACACCTGTGAGTGTGCTGGGACCAAGAGAAAGGCATCTCCTGATGGTCTTCACGCCTTGGCATTCAGCAACGTTCCTGCTTGTCTGGCTGGGAGCTATCATGGACCTGCCACCTGGCATGGATTTCTCACACTTTTAAAAAATGCAAAAAGGGAGGGGATGTGTATCTGTTTCATGCAGCCTGTTGAAAACTCCCCCTGCGGCTCAAACTCTTGCGTCCTCGGATTTAATTATGACTTTTTGCACACAAGCGTTGGACGGAGGCAGGTCTCTTTGCTGGACTTCTGCCCGCTTTCCCCCCCGCCCTGCGTCTCCCCATACCCCGTTGTTATAAAATCTTGGAAAAAGTTGAGCTCTGCTTGGAGGAGAAGCTGGCGGGTGGCGGCGCAGGCAGCAAGATTGGAGGAGGTGGCGGAAGGAGATGTGGGGGCTGGAGGGGAAAAAGGAAGGTGGCAGCCGGATGGATGGTGCCTGGACTTCAATTCCACATTCCTTTTCTTCCAGACAAACCCCGTCGGATTTTCATAAATCAAAGCACCTCACTCTTTAATAAAAATTTATTGACTTACAAGTGATTATTTATCAAAAGGCCATTAATAGCAGATCCTGGAATGATGTGCTATTGGGTGGTGCAGGGAGACTAATAGCAAATCAATGCTTGCACCAGGGCAGAATGCAGATAAGGAGGGCCCTGTGTCGTCCCCCCCCAAAGCCAGCCGTCCTGTGGCAGCTCCAGTTGGCCCCTGCCTTGCTGGCCGCCCAAGGAGTCACCTATTTATATATCATTTACAAATGAAATGATCAATACTTTTAATCTAGAGCTAAATTTATTAACTTTCCCATCGGAGAGAAAGATGTATTGACTGAAGGGGAGAGGGGTGGGCCAGGGTGAGCGGGAGAGGAGGGTGGACATCCATGTCGAGATGAATGCAGTCGCCTGTGTGTGTGTGTGTGGGGGGGCCTTACAGGCTGGAGACCTTTCTTGCACACCTACACACCTACACGGTCAAGAAAGCCTCGTCATTCCTGCACACTTCTCGAAGGCAGGATCGCTTGATGTTAACAGGCCTGAGGGCTTGAAAGGACAGCTGGACAACTTCGCAAAGAGGATGGCCAAAAGCCCTTATCAGTGGCTGCTGAAAGAAGCCTCCATCAGCAGAGGCAGTATATCTCAGAGTATCTGGGGCTAGAGGCACAAAACGGCGATTGCTAACTACGTCCTGCTTGCAAAGTGCTGTCCAATGAGAGGGACAAAAGCGAGGCATGGATTGACATTTGCTCTGATGCTGTTATGATTTTTTTTAAAAAACCCTGCCAACGCCGTTGGTCTTTGTTCACGCAAACACTGCTCCGAGAGGTGGTTTTCTCCCTCCCAAGGAGCAGTAGGAAAGGGCTTCCTCGTCCCGGCCACACCTGGCCCACTGACTTTGGCCCCCTGATCCGGAAGGAGCCCAAGTACATGTTCCCAACCCCATGGATGTTTGCTCATGGGCAAAGGCGCCAGGGCAGAGAGCATCCCCTTACGGCTGTTCCCTGCAGACCCGAGGTCCTCCTTATCACATCCGGGCAGAGTCCAAGGCTGAACTGATAACAGAACGGGGTCATTTCCTGGGAGGCGTCTTGCAGACGGCCGTTGTTCTGCTTTCTAGAAAACGGCAAACGAGTCTTGGGGTTTCAAGCCTACGTAGAGACACGGGGCACCCCTTAAATAACTCTTTAAAAAGGGGGATTATTTCTCCAGGCCCTGATAGGGAAACCCATAGGGTAGCAAATGCTGGAGGACTTTGAGCAAGGTGCTCTGGAGGAAAACCTCTTGCTTTCAAGAAAGCAGCAAAGGACCATTCAGGGGAGAACAGGTGTGGCCACAGCTCCAGCCTTTGGAGCTAGTTGGGAAAGGCAGGTCAGCATTATAAAGCTGACTCACTGGGAGCAGGAACTGAGGCGGGGGTGGGTGGGGAGAGTAGCACAACTCCGCTTAAGGCCCTCTACACTTCTTGGGCTTGCCACCCAAAGGGGGAACAGTGGTAGTTGCTAAGGGGTTTAATCTTGTATTGTGTCAGCCTAGTTGCCTGGAGGCTGGCTGGGAAACCTGCAGCTCTCTCTTTCTCTCTCCCCCCCCCCCAAAAAAACCCTGTATCAGTTCAAGCTGATCATCAGTATAGTAAGAGGAAACATGACTTTGCACTGGATCTGTGCATTGGGGACAAAGAGATGCTGCTGGAATCGTGAGAAAAGCTTGGAACCGCCCATTAAGGACCCCTGGAAGGAGGTAAGGTGAAACCAGTCCTTTCTGAACCTCAGCACCGTTTAAGCAGCCTTCATGCCTGAATGAATTTGGCTGCTCTTCTATTCCAGCATGGCCTCTGCGCACGAGGTCGCTGGCTACACTGACGAAACATCCAGACGGAGATGTCAGGTCCACCTTTGCTGCACCCAGCACCCTTCTGGTTGCTGTCTCGGGCTGCAACTCCCACCACCTTCCCACCACTGAACTGCCCCCTCCACCCACCCACAGGACAAAGACGGGAACTAAATTGCACACACTGATGTAGACCTGCAGAAGCAAAATTGGGAATAATGCCGTGACAGGGTCAGCTGAAGGCCTCCTGAGCTTTCTGAGGCTCATGGAAAAATTCAAGGTCCTGGATTTCTCTCTCTCTTTAGACCAGGTGTGTGCCTGAACAAAGCTTGGCAAACTCTTAAAACAATCTACACTCAAATCTCTCCCCCCCCTTTAATATGACCACCTATCTATGAATAAGTATGAACTTTTAAGTATTCTAAATTCTTACTATACAGATCTCTGTAATGTTTACATGTTTTCTATTGCATGCAGAACTTGGACTCCTGCCTTCTCATGATGTGCTCAAAGGAAGACAGCCCGTTTCATTGATGATTCCAGAGAGTTCACAGTTCAGGGGATTCGTAAAGCTCTCCTCCAGCACATTTCAAATGAATCATTTTTCCCCGTCACCTTTCTTAACTGTTCAGCTTTTTTAATTGCCCAGCTTCCGCACCCATAAAGGGTGGTCTGGAATACAAGGGTACGGATGATCTTGGCCTTGGCCTCCTGTGATACATCTTTACACCTGATGATCTTTTCTAATTCCTTCATTGCTACCCTTTGTAGTCTTTCTTCTTCTCTGTGTATCACTACTTGTTCCAAATACAGGTTTATTTCTGCTCCAAAGTGTGTAGAAATGTGCAACTGGAGAGATTATATGTCCAGTCTCTAGCAGTTGCAGATATGACTATAAAAGACTCTTGTGTGAATCCTTGGAAAGTTGCACTTGGAAGTGGGTGAACTTTAGACTTACAGGATGAACCTTGTTTTTTTTCCTGGAACCCAGAGATCTATGAACGGTTGCCTGTATCCTTGGAATCAAAACCCATTTGCCCAGAAATTTGTGTTGAGTATTAAAACTACAGAGGCCAGTCTTCCCATAAATATATAAAAAGATCACTTCTAGTTATCCAGCGTTTTCTTTGTTTCAGTGATGAAATTTATGGTAGTTGCATGGCATTGTTTTGCAATTTTGTAAATATTAAAACAGGGAGTCAAAAATCCTTGATCTTCTACAAATCCCCCAGTGGTCTAACTATCAGATCCACATCTCTGGTCTAAACAATGCCAAGCTAGACAAGCTGGTGCAAAGCAGCATCTTGCATTTCTAATTGCTGGAGTATGTCATGGCATAGTGGAAGAGTACCCAGAAAAGCTCAGAATTAAATCTGATCAAGAGCAGCTTGGTTAATTTTTAATTTTCTCAATTTTAAGACAGGTGTTTTCTTCCCCTCCCCCTTCCGTTTGTCTCTGAGTCTAGGAACTGAGCTAGAAGAGTGGAAATGTTTAAATAAATAAAAAACAGGAAGAGGATCTTCTCAGGAAAAAAAAGCTGAAGCAGATGTTGAACCAAAGCACCTTTCTCACTTTTGAGTGTGCAAGCTCACTCCTGTGCATCTGGAGGAGAGGATCAGAAAGCATTATAGGACAATATGGGAGTGAGGGAGATGACCAGCTTGCCTCCAGCTGCAAGCCACGCTTCCAAAACACCAGCCCCTCCCCAGCAAGATGAAGCAAGTATGTGTGCTTGGAAAGAAAAGGAGTGAAGCCTTTGCTTTAGCTTTCCAGATGATCGATGGAGAAGGCAGGGATGTAACTTTTGAAGTGATGGAGAGTAATGCTTAAAACAGCATGGTTTTTTAAAATTGCATCCGTGTCATCTTCCTTGATGCGCTTCAGATTCAGGGACGCTGACTTCAGTCTGCAAGGCTTCTGCCTGTTTCAGCAAATGCTAAAAACCTCTTCAGAGCCAAAATTAGAAGGGTCTGGTTGGAAGTCTGAGAGCTAAGACTGGCATGGTAGGCGATGGTGTGTAATTTAGACTGTGGTTATTTATGGCTTTCTCCAGAACAAGCAGCTGTGTTCCCCAGCTATAGGAGCCTAAATGGGTTAAATCCGCCTTGAAAAGAGATGTGGGCCCTGACTGTACCCCAAATCTGCCACCCCACACCACTGTCAGACCACCTATGTACGCAGCCACATGTGCTCCACATTCTCCTGTCCACCATGATGGATGCAAAAGGGGAAAGGCTGGTCTACCCTTCCTTATCCTGCCCCTTTTTTCTTCTTCCTTATTCCTTCCCTATTTTTAAGAGCCAAAGTTCTGCATCATCTCTGATCAGCGAGTGGGCTTCTATTTTGGGACAACACCCAGGGCAAGATCTCTGTCTGTATTGTTTAATTATAAAATGCAAAATGAACCCATGCACAGCTGCAGTCCGTTCTTTTTTTTGGGGGGGGGGGTCAAGGGAGGAAGGCAAAAAAGGACCCAAGGGTGCAAGAAGGGCTGCCTGCTTCCCCCGCTGCAGGAGGCAACAGTCCCTGATGGAGGGACTCGAGATGCCCAGGTGTGCTCAGAGCCACCCTGGAGCATCCTATGCAGGCACGCATGCACGCCTACAGACAGACACAGACAGAAGCATCCAGCACACTCACATGGATGCCCCAGGGGCAACCCAGTCTGCCACCTCAATGTGGCAAAAGTCCTCGGCTGGCACCGCGGCAGTTCGGGCAGTGGTCTGAGCCGCACAGCTTTTTAAGACAAGGCCTTTTTCTCAACAGACCCTGGCCAACGTCTTCAGAGGGGCTGCTGAATGGTGAGCACCCAAAGCTTGAAGAGATGCAGCTCCAGGTGGTCCTGGAAGCCAGAAGGAGTTCTGGGGTAATTGGTTCTGAAGCAGCCCCGGTGAGCACCCAAAGCTTGAAGAGAAACTGCAGCTCCAGGTGGTCCTGGAAGCCAGAAGGAGTTCTGGGGTAATTGGTTCTGAAGCAGCCCATCTCCCTGGCTCAGAAAACTCAGGAACGGCTTCGGTCCTCGTGGTTGCCCACAATCATCTTGCTGTAGAGTTTCTGCTGCTCTTCCTTGAATGTGTCCTTCACTTTTTCCCTCTTCAGGCCCCCGTCCCTGAAAAACAAAAAACGAAAGATAGCAACTCCTTCTCTCACCTGGCACCTGAGAGGTGCAGAACACCCGGCCCAGGTAGGTAAAGGAACCAAAGGGAGTGAGGATTCCGTCCCTGAAAAACAAAAACCGAGAAGAAAGATAGCAACTCCTTCTCTCACCTGGCACCTGAGAGGTGCAGAACACCCGGCCCAGGTAGGTAAAGGAACCAAAGGGAGTGAGGATAAAGTGAGACTTGACATTGAAAAAAGAATGCTTGAATAGGAGCCTTGTCTCTTCAGGGGGCACTACCAAGAAGGAAGCCTTGGGCCATGTGACTTTTCAAACACACCTTCCAAGTACACTGGGTTAGGCCTCAATAACACTCCCATCTTCGGTGGAGCATAAGCAGCCTGATGATACAAACTCAGGTTGAAGATTCCACACAGCCATCAGGGCTTATTTCCGCAAGAATTTCTGCACCGAAGGAGGGGGAATGCCTCATGGCCCAGTGGTCAAGCTGCAGCACTGCAGTCAAGACTCTGATCCGAATCTCAAGTTTGCTCTCAATGGGGCTCAGGTAGCTAGCCCAAAGAGTGCTTTATAAGCAGAACACATGAAACCCTACCAACTGGACACATGTTCAACCGCCGATCCTGTGCAGAGTTTACGAATACAGGATATTGCTTTCAGCTCAACCACCCAATTCAGTATTACTCTCAAGACCAGGGGTGAGAAAGCCACAGCATGCCTGACCCGAACTCCCATAATTTCCAGCCTTCAAGGTGAATGATCGACGATGATGAGATTTAGAGCCCAGCAGCTGGTTTGGCAGCAAAAGGGCTGGGCTTCAGGACTCACCACAGCAGATCCACGAGACCGCCCTGCCGAGCAATGGCAGATTTCACCCGATTGGCAAACTGCACCGCATCTTCGTCTGGCTAAAAATGGGAAACAGAGACAATCAGGGTGTGCACAAAAGGGTAAATGGGGTGCCCATCTGAAACCAGACCATAATGGGTACAAGCGACTCACCTTCCTGGTCATCGGTGGCAGATACCACACACTGCAGACAATTGCCCAGCTGGTCATCATCCTGAGCAGATAGGTAACCATGCCATATTTGCTGCTGTTAAAAAATGCATCTCCAAACTGCGGGTCGTACTGCCAGACAAAAGGGAAGGGGGGGGTGTCAAGGCAATGTGAACACTCCAGCTGCAGTGCAAGCGAGAACAGCCAGCAAGGGAGGTTTTCTACATCTCGTGTGCTCCATAGCATCCTAAGGATACCAGATTCAATACATGGACAAAAATATGTTCCTTTAATAACCCCATTAAGGGACAGTTGCCAAATATTCTCGTGATCTCATTCTCCCTTCAGCAAATAGGGCAACCTAAAATGGCCTGATCCATTTCCTCCTTACAAGAACCCTATGAGGTAGGCAAATTGCTCTGAGGAAACAACTCACTCAATGATCCTTTACAAAGGGGCAGGCATCACTCCGCTTTCCCTCTCTCTCGTAGACTCTTGCAGCCCCTGAGGTTTCCTAACATCATCCCTCCACATTTTTGGGGCTAAACCGTAAGGAATCATGTTGCAAAATGATGTCGGCCTTCCTTAAACCTAGCTGAGTGCACCTTGCTTTAAATGCAAGAAAAAGAAATGATGGTGGTGGTGAAGGGGGTTAAATTGGAAATAAGCTTCCGGTCACTTCTGGTTTTGTGGGAGGATGGTAGAAAAATGGTCCCGAAATTGCCCACCCTTGCTATACATTACGGTGTAACTAAATGCGCCATCATACTAGACTGGTGGTTCCCAACCTGGGGTCTCCAGATGTTCTTGGACTGCAACTTCCTGAAAGCCTGGCCAGCACAGCAAGTGTGGTGAAGGCTTCTGGGAATTTTAGCCCAAGAACATCTGGGGACCCAAAGTTGAGAACTGTTTTAAAGGGAGGGAACCTAAGCATCTACTGGATTCGCACAACCCTAAGTTCTGCATCAACTCCAACCAGATGCCCAAAGCAAATGCAAGGCATAAACACTTTTATACATGGGCTTGCTCTGCATAAAGCTCCAGCTTCATCCGCCTTTCAACGAAGACCGTGGACACTGTCTTTTGACTACTATAAAGTAACCGTCTTGTAGGGAGTTCTCTTGCACGGTATTCTTTGAACAAATTGGGACCCGTTCCCATTCATTCCAAAGGAGGGGCTTATGTAGGAAAGCGCCATGATGAACTGGGCTCAGAGTTGCATTCTTTTAATGCTGGTGTGTGACCTAACAATAGATCAGGAAGGGCGGTTTAAAGATAATTTTTATTTAACAATAGCAATTCAAGGTCTAAACAGCGAGTCCATCAAAACCCTTGAGCTGTGATAAGATGAATGTCTAGTGATGGAAATTATCCAAACCCACGGCCGAAGGGATTCCGTGAGAAACTGGCTCTTCCCCTTGTGGTCCCATCCCGCCAATGGCTCCAGCCGGCAGACCTCTTGATCACACAGAGTTGCTCTTGCAGGCCTAAAAGTGGCCTCCCAAAGGCTCCAGTGGGGTTGTTGGAAGCCTTAATGGAACAAGACCCGTGTTGCCTTCCAAGAGCTCCTTGCTGTCAAAGACAGTCGGACTGTGATATCCGCAGGGGACTGGCATCGTGGGGGATGCTGGAAACAAGGAGGAGTCTCAAGCACCCTACATCGCATGGTCTCTAACTGCCTCTAGTGGCTGGTTCTGGTAAATACATGCCGGAAATACATATACAGGCACTCCTCACTTAACGACCAAGTTTACAGGCATTCCTTACTTTAACGACCAAGTTCCGTTCCTACGACTAGGTTGTTAAGCGAACTGGTCGATAAGTGAGGAGCAATAAAAGTATATAGGTAAAGGTAAAGGTTCCCCTTAATAGAAAAGTGTATAGGTAAAGGTTCCCCTTGACAATTTTTGTCCAGTCGTGTCTGACTCTAGGGGGCAGTGCTCATCCCCGTTTCCAAGCCATAGAGTCAGCGTTTGTACAAAGACAATCTTCCGTGGTCACATGGCCAGTCTTAGACCCAGATCACTGTTTACCTTCCCACCAAGGTGGTCCCTGTTTATCTACTCACATTTGCATGCTTTCAAACTGCTAGGTTGGCGGGAGCTAGGACAAGCGACAGGCGCTCACTCCGTCACATGGATTCGATCTTACAGCTGAAGATCTACAGACCTTACAGCACAGAGGCTTCTGCGGTTTAACCCGCAGCGCCAAAAGGGAATAATAAATCACGTGCCATTGAGGAGGAGTGGGGTAAAGATGCAAGCACGGATTTATAAGGATTGCAATGGGTCGTAAATCTGAGCAATTTTTTAAACAGGTAGGTTGTTAAGTGAGGAGTGCTTGTAAGTATGTATTTTGGGGTGGGGTTATTTAGTATTTCCAGCCAGCAGATGTGAATCAGATCACCGAGGGGGGGGGTTCCTATTGTACTACGACCTTCCCAAAGCCCACACAGAGCCGAGCAGACTTCTCTTTCAGCCCATGCACCCTAACCCCCAGAGAGCAGGGTTAGCTAACAAGGAACAGCTCCCACCTTGATGGCAACCGGATAAACTGTGGCACCAATCTCAAAGCTCCCTTTCTTGAACATCATCACCGAGGTATTGTTGATACAAGTGCCTGTTTGGGGGGGGGGGAGGAAAAAGAAAAGCTTTTGTAGGAGCAGCTCTCTTGATCAATGAGAAATAGTGGAGAACACTGGAAGTTCCTGAGAGCAAGAAGGGTGATCGTGTCAGAGGGAGAAGGAGAACATTCAGTCCAGGGGCCTAACAGGCTGAGCAGGTTTCCAAACAGACAGCCATCATTTGCAGGGCACGCAGGGGGATGGAGGCTGGAGTGACCTCCCTGTCCTGCATCATCACCTTCCCAGTCAAGTTGCAGATTAAAATCCCCTACTGAAAATTCTGGACCACTCAGACTCCTCTTTAACTTATTAGGCTTGCAGTTTAAATACCCCCGTCTTCCATCTATTCCGAGACCCGATGGAACCAGAAGGCTGACTTGTCTCCTGTAGATCTTGCTTACCTTCAGGAAAAATCAGAATGGGCAACTTGTTTTTATCATGAGCATGCTCTGACAGCCTGCAAGAAGACAAGGGAACAGAAAGGGAGACACAGTCACACGTCACTGGTCAAATACTGAAAGCTGGGCTAAGCTGCTCCGGAGGTCCCAGCAACCCCCGTTGTCCATGGGGTCTCAAACATCAAACTGCATAGCTGGCCCGGCAGCTGGACTGAGAAACTGGCTGCCAACCAAGGGCTCCACGTCCCCTGCAAGATCCACCCTGGAAGCGTTTACACAAAGTAGAAGAAACTGTGCACGTGCCTTCTAGCCACCAGGTGGCGATCCTTCACCTCAGAGCGTTCAAACCAGACGTGAGGGCAAGCCTTCACCATGGCCCTCTGGATGACCCCCATGAGCCCTCCGTGGATCTGGCCCACCTGAACAACAGAGAAAAAGAAGGGATTCAAAGCAAGGTCCGAAGAAGAGGGCGATGCCCAAATGTCAAGCAGCTCCAACTTCTCAGCCTGCAAGAACTGCCAATCTCACCATCCCAAGCTTCAGAGGAACGGATGCAGCACAGCAGCAAGGATGATCACACCCCAGTGTTATGATCATCAGCCAAATGAACAGGTGGAATACCCGCAGCACGAAATGTACCCGCTTCTTTTCCAGCCTTAAAGACTACTAGTGCCATCTGTCAGGACTGGGCCACCACTTTTTCATATTTGTTAATTAGGGGATTGAGTCAAATGAAGTGGATGCAGAAAACTTCCACTGGCACACAGTGAGATCCCCAACCAGCATATCCATAGGCAACTGGCTGTTACGGTTCACCATCCTCACCATAGCGTAGTAGCCATCGCTGGCCAGAATGATGACATCAATAGGGGAGGTATGGTTAGCCACACAGATGCCTCCATTGCGGGGTCTGTTTTCCCTGAAATTGGGAAAGGGAGAGAGGTCAGCAGAGAAACCAGAAGCACAAACTCCATCGATCAGCCAAAGGAGAGCATCTGACACAGGCCATCTTGCTGGCACCACTCCAGAACAACAGATGATGGCACAGAGCCCCTGTATAATCTATTTGGCTAAAACCAGTGCCTTAAAGAACAGTCATTTTAGAGGAGGTAGCCGTGTTAGTCTATGCTAGCATATCAAGCAAAAAAACAAAAAACAAAAAAACAAAAAAAAAACACCATAAAAGTCTGAGGAAGTGGACTCGTCCATGAAAGCTCACACAAAAATACAGCAGTTGTTAAGTTGCCACGATTTTGACTTCTTTATCTTTCTTTAGTTTCTGTCTGATATGTATAGACTGTTCATATAGCCATCATCCTGTAATTCTGTGCAGAAGAAAGGCCGTTTAAATTAAGAGATAACATTATTTTGCATTTATTTCTTAGTTTTTGCTGTACATTGGGAAGAGCAGAGAGTTACACAGGGTACTCAAACAAATTCTCAGCCTCTGACCACCTGGTCTCCGAGATTTCTGGGGACTTTGCTGACATGTCGAAACCAGAAAACTCCATCGATCAACCAAAGGAGAGCATCTGACACAGGCTGTCTTGCTGGCACCACTCCAGAACAACAAACAGATGAAACTGAAATATATGCCAGACAGCACCTTCACAAAAATACAGCAGTTGTTAAGTTGCCACGATTTTGACTTCTTTATCTTTCTTTAGTTTCTGTCTGATATGTATAGACTGTTCATATAGCCATCATCCTGTAATTCTGTGCAGAAGAAAGGCCGTTTAAATTAAGAGATAACATTATTTTGCATTTATTTCTTAGTTTTTGCTGTACATTGGGAAGAGCAGAGAGTTACACAGGGTACTCAAACAAATTCTCAGCCTCTGACCACCTGGTCTCCGAGATTTCTGGGGACTTTGCTGACATGTCAAGTAAATTTTCACAGCTACCATTGCAAGAAACACGTTCTTAAGCAAGTCAGCTGGCCAGCCAAATCCTCAGGAAACTGAAATATATGCCAGACAGCACCTTCTGCTAATTTTTCTGTGTTCCCACAAGCCCAGCACTAACCCTTCCCTTCTCTGGGCCATATGCCATGGGCTGCCACCCAAACCCCTCCATACCGGTGATGGTAGGTGATGATGGCTGTGAGAGCTCGCACGCAGATCCGATAGCACATCAGGTGTACATGCTTGCTCAGGAACTCCTTGCACCTGAAAAGTCAGAGCAAACATCTCATGAGAGCGCACCTCACGGCCAGTCCGTACTGGAAGGCTTTGAGAGGGGAATGATTCAAATCTTTGTGCCCATGTTCCATCCATAAATAACCTTGCTCACCAAGATACACCTTAGATCTAGGAAGCTTACAGGAGTCAATCTTTAGTGCCACCTTCTGGAAGCAGCCCCGCAGCAGCTGGCTTTTAATATCACCCCTGATGAGAGTCACTACTGTGGCCTGTCCCTGTCGCAAAATAGTCGGCAGAAATGTTTCGGGAGAAACAGCTGTGCTTCCCCTCTGGCCAAGGCATGGAGGGGAAAGGGTTTCAGATCTAGGCTGCTAATGTCGAACAGGCTCCAGAGGAAACTCTTATGGTGGAGGCAGGTGGCGCTGGACAGCTCTGCCCTTTCCTGCATGGAACGCTTGAGTCTCACTTTTTGGGAGGAGGGGGGACGGGACTGGAGCTTGGTCTACGGAACAGCAGTGATCATTCTTTCGTAAGACAAGGGCTACTTCTGAAAAGCCAGAAAACTGGGTGAGGTGGGGAGGCAAGCTTCCTCATCAGAGCAACTTAGTGACAGTGGGCTGAAGGGGATGGCCTGTTACCACCAAGGAATCTCCATTTCTGGAGAGAAAAATGAGCAAATGTATGAAGGGCTCCGCTAAAAGGCAGCCAGGGAGACTGGAAAGAAAAACCCTAGGAGGAAAGAATAAAAGAGGCCGGACATGGTTAGCCCTGAAAAAAGAAGACTAAGGGCAGATAGGGCAGCACTCTTCAAATACTTGAAAAGTTGTCCTATAGAGGAGGAGCAGGATCTGTTCTCCGTCATGGTAGAGTGAGTTCCTGTTTACGAGGAAACCAGATTTTGGCTGTATATCAGAAGAGGACATTTGGGCGGGACAGAGGAGCAGGAAGGACAGTGACTGTCGGGCAAGGCCAATGGTGCTGTGGGAGGGAAGGGAGAGGGAGATTCATTCATGCCCGTCTCAAAAGGTTGGTCAGAGACTCGGGGAGAGCCATCCCTCGTCTTTTATGCCCCAGGGTATAATCAGCCCTTGTTCGTTCAAGATCCCAGGGAAGGAGCACCCATTGTTCCCCTACCACAGCCATCATGATGGTGATCAAACCACCCAGGGAAGCCTCACCCGGGAAAGCCCGCACCTATTCAAAAGAGGCACTAGAGGCATTGATGATAGTAGCCCTAGCACCTTGTCCAGCTGGTCCAGGAGTAACAGAAGCAGCACCCTTGGGAGGACTCACAGCAGCCAGGGGCTGCTGGCCCTTGTGGAGGGGCCTGGGTTGCTGGGGCAAGTGCCAAAAGCTCAGTCCAAGCGATGGACACTAGACCGCAGGGGGGGGTAGGGCTGAGAACTCAGCTTCAGCTGCTGACTGGTGGACACAGAATGTTGGCGCCCATCAGAGTCCATGGGGAGTCCAAGGAGGCTATGGATGAGGAGATCCTTCACACCACCCCGTCCCCTCCAGTTCCTGAGTCCTGCCTGAAAGCCCTGATGGTGGAGAGGAAGGCTGGGTCAGGAGAACCTGAGCACAGAAATCAGAGAGAGCCAGCCTTTCACCTACAAGGGTTCGTTGGCCATTTGTTATCTGCAGAAGCCAACTCTTAGCCTTTCAGAGTTTATTCTTGGGTGTGTTATCTTGGTCATCCACCGCTGAGAACTCACCTTCCATTTGGCAAATACCCCACCATCGTTGTCCCAGTCACCAAGAGGCTAATACCAGTGAAAGCCAGGGCTATCCTGTACAGGGAAGGAAGTGGGGGGTGGGTGGGAAAGAAAGAAAGAGAAGGGGGTGAGGTTCAAATTAAAAAGGATCCTGAAGAGCCCAGATCACCAACTGCACTGATCTCCAGCTTTGAGGAGACAGCAGTTCCCAAAGGCGGCTCACAAAAGAATTAAAGCCAGAGAGTACTATGAATGTCCAGTTAATACGGTTTTATTCTCCAGGGAATAAACGTCAGGAAAGAGGAATACCAGACATGGTCTTCCCGCGGTCTGCTCTGACTTCCCAATGGGCCGGCGACTCCATCACCACTGGTCCTACCTGAGTGGCAGCAGGAAGCAGTAGCGGATCAGGACCCCCAGCCCCCAGAGAACGGTGAGGCGGAGGCTGATGTAATGGAAATTGTAGTTGGTCCGGCTCAGCAAGTTCCACGATTCCAACTCTTCAGCTGAGAAGCGCTTTGTCACCTCATCGTCCATGATGGTCTCAATCCCTTTGCGACAGAAGTAGAAGATGTCAGAGAGCTCAAATTCGGGGGCGTCCAGGGCCTTGTTGCTCCCACTTCTCCGGATTTCCTTGATCTCCTCCTCCAGCGAAGTGGGCTCCTTGGCAATGATGCCTACAATGGATATTAATTAATTCAAATTAATTGAACAGTCAAAACATTTTAATTTAATTTCTACTTCAAAGGACCCAAGGTGGCTTACACCAATTAAAAAACAGTATTTAAAAGAGAAAAAACAGCCGAGTACACAAATATTAAGAAAGGAATTAAACAAGTATATTAAAATCAGTAAATAGAATCAATGCTGAAAACACATTTAAAAGCAACAGGATACACCACCTTCCAGTCAGATGGAAAGAGAAGCTGAGCCCCACACCTCTATACCTCTCTCTTCCAAGAAAAAGCAGCATGAATGCTTACCATTGACGTAGGGCCTATAAAGTGGATGGTTCTTCTCTTTGGCACCACGCTGAATCCTTAGTGTTGCCCACTGTTAAAACACAGAGAAGGAAACTGAATTCAAAGTCCTACATATAAGTAATATGGAATTCACTAGATCAAGATGTGTGGATTCCTACCGACAAAGAGGAAACCTGGCTGTTTCAAAACACTTTCCCCATTGGCCAATGGGGCTTTTAAAAGCAAGTGATGGATTTTTTCAGTCCAGTTACACAGTCGAATTTTGATGGACTGCTTTATTGATGGCAACAGAAATGTCGGCACTGCTCAGGGATGTTTATATTTATCTGAGTCTGGTTTAGGAAAAAAGATGACTAAGGGGAAATATGGCAGAAGTGTCCAAAATTATCCATGGTGTTGAGAAGGCAGATGTTTCCTCTCTCTGATAATAGTAGAATTTCAACTTCTGTGGTCATCCCTTGAGCCAAATAGTGAGAAATTCTCTACTGAGAAAATGAAGAACCTCTTCACACTGTGCATCATTAAATTACAGATTTTGCTGCAGTGGCTGTAAAACTGGATAGCTTTAAATCTGAATAAGGTAAATTCATGAGAGATACACAGACATCAGTGGCTACAAGGCTCCATCATCAAAGGCAGCACAGCTCTATTTCCTAAGTGAGAGGGTGCTGAGGAACTCACAAGGTGTGTGCAGACTTGCCACAGACTTTTCTAATCAGAACGCTGGACAAAAAGCATGCTTTTGGCCTAATCCAAAATTACTAATCTTTCTTTCTGAGCATTGCACAAATTAAAATTATGGGCGTGTATGAAATAGAGGTAAAATTTAAAACTAATTAAAATGATAATTATGGCGCCCTGTTTTAGATACTGAGCTCCAGGTGGGGGTGGGGGGGGCAAGGTCTCGAAAATGCTTATAATAAGTAAGAGTGGCATTCCCAAGCAAACTGTGGAAAGGACATGGAATCTGAGTGGGAAAACAGTCTACAGTTCTGGGTGACAGAAACCCAGTTTGAGGCAGCTCAGTTTACTAGGCAATTGGTCTGAAACAGGGTGGATCTGATTTAATTTTTTTAAAAACAATTGTATTTTTTTGATGATTTAAATAAAACATGTTTTTAGTTTAAATTGTGATTTACTATAAATCTCTCTTTTTTTTCAACATTAATTTTTATCCACCTTGGTTTAACTAAGGGAGAGAGAGAGAAAGAGAGAGACTAGCTTGAAATCGGAGAGGAGATTTTCCAAGGTCTGTAGTGTGGCAGAGCTGCAAATTCCTGGGGGTGAGACCGCTTCAGTTGCAAGTTGACCTGTAATCTACACATGAAGCAGAAGGACGTTTCAGGTCAGAGTTCTGTCTGAAGCTGCTGCTGGCTTTTGCCTGCACAACCTTTGTATCTGGTGTCAGGCGGCCAACACGCTCTGTGAATGCTGGGGGAGTGACAGAGGAGGAGGCAACCACATCAGAGGGTGCATGTCTGCTGCCCTTGACTTTGTTACCACCCCATGGGAAGCTCCTTCCTTTTCATGGCTCAGTTGCTCCAACTAGCAAACCCAACAAAACACCATGCCTGGGCAGCTTCCTTGGTGTTGACAGCCAGAAGCCCAACATGTCTCCGCATTACACTAAGACCAGCCTCTCCTTCCAAGGGCATAACACACAAACACACTCTCTCTTTCCATTCACTTGGCTGCCCTCCATTTGACCGTCTCAGTTTAACACAGGCTTAAACAACAACCTTGGAAACAACACTGTGTCGGTTGCTCCCATTCCACTGCTCAGCTTCCTGACAGTCTCAACAGCCATATTAAAAAAAACCTCAAATAAGAACAAGCTTCTAGCCCTCAATGCTGTCAAGCCAGCCTCGAAAGAGCACGTCATGCTTGGTGAAACATCAAGTACCACAGAAGTGACCAGGTAACATTTCAAGTAGTTGGGGGGGGGGGCAGCTTGTGGCCCTCACCACAGAACAAACTGTGCAGACTTGTGTGTTCTGCAAGTGTGTGTTCAAAGTGTGGGAGGAATGTTTTACAAGGATGTTTCAAAAACAACGGCTGCTGCTGCTATTACTAAGGAGGACACACTCTTCTGTTCATTAGGTCAACGGCAAATTATTGCTTCCATCCCTAGCCTGGGCCATTATGCATATCCTGGTCACAAACTACCAGTTAGGGGAGCCTTCTGATCAAGGGTAATGCTCTCTTGGAGAAGAGAGGAGGCCTAGAATGTAAGCCATTTCCCACACCTATGAGGTTCACTGGACCCAAATCTGTCAAGGGGAAGCCAAATTTCGCAAACAGCGAAATGATCCAGCCTGGAAAATTCCACCAACCGCAGGATGGGGTGGAGACAGAACTCTTTGGCTGTTACTTCCCACCTGCTAGCCTCCCGCTGGTTCATTGCCCAGCCTTAGTGTGTGGGTCTCACCAAAACCAAGGCTTCTGAGCAAACACCAACCCTGGAAAAAGACAGGGGGCTAGAGCAGGATGCAGGAGATAGGAATAACTAGCCAGTTCTCACAGTGGAGGGTATCACTAGTGGGGTCCAGCACTGTGTTAGGATAGTTACTTTTCAATCTATTCCTAAATGACCTGGAGTTTGGGATGGGCAACAAGGCAGCCAATTTTGCAGAAGATGCCCTCTTTAAAACGGGTGGAAAAAAGAAAAAGAGATTATGAAGCTTTGCTAAGGGACCTCTGCCACTTTGGTAAATGGCAAGTATGTATATCTGTTTGCTTATTTATTTTAAATGTTTCAATGCCACCTTTGTCCTAAAACAATCCAAGGAAGTTTACAGTATTGAAAGAAACAATGTTAAAAGGATCCAAGGAAGTTTACAGTATTAAAAGAAACAATGTTAAAAGCTAAAACAATAACTTACAACATTTATTTATTAAACAAATACCACTTAAAACATATAAGTAAAAGAAGTATTAAAAACACATTTAAAGCAACAGAAATACAATAGTCCTTTTAAAAAAAAACAAAAAACCTTAGTCAATCCGTTATTTAAAAGGAAGCCTGCCTGAAAAGTCTTTGCCTGCTTGCAGTAGGACAGCAAAGACGGGGCCGGCCTGGGAGTGAGTTCCAGAGTCTGGGGGCAGCAAGAGTGAAGGCCCCCTCCTGTTTCCCCACCAAGTGTGCCTGCGAGGGTGGCAAGATGAAGAGAACGGCCTTCCCTGATGATCTGAAGACCCAGCTAGGCTCCAGATGCAGTCTTTCAGCAAGCAAAACACAGGGCTCAATTTCACCCCTGCTTGCTAACATCTCAAGAGGCATGTTTGGCCCCTGTGAGAAACAGGAAGCCAGACAAGACGGGTGTCTTGGTTTGATCCAGTATGCTCCTTCATATGATCTCAGGAAGGAAACCTCACTCCATGAAGCCTAACTCCTTTCTTGGCCCACATGCTTTCTCTGATGAACTCTGAAGAAGCATCACAGGCAAAGACGACTGAAACATTTCCAAGACTGCTCTGAGGCAAGTATTCTAAAACACAGTGATCATGGCAATCTTCTCTGAGTCAAGGACTGACAGCTTAAACAACTGGCCAGATGTAAATATCTGACTGACTAAGGTCAGGCCTGCCTTTTTCTCTATGACATGTCCTCACCTCCAACGTTCTTTCCTTTTTTTAATCATTAAGAAAATCTGCGTTGTGTACCTCTGCCACCAGCTCCTGTTCAGATATAGTACCAGGGCTCCCTGGGACGTACTCCAAGATGAGAACAATATTAGCAACTTCTTCATCTTTTACAGTATTGTTCTTCCCACTGTACTCCTTCCTTGCTTGCCTATCTTCTCTTACACTGTGAGCTTGCTGGTGGGACCTGCTTTACTCTACAATATTTTGATCTGGAAATACTTTGCAACTAATGAATGTAAAATAATAATGACAACGGGAACAAGAAAAGCAAGAACAAGAACATTTTCAGCAGTTCTAAGATGATGACGATGATGATTAGGTTGGCAATGGTCACAAGAAAGACTGAAACTGGATGAAAGGGTAGCTGAGGAGGAGGAGGAGGAAGGGAATGGGGTAAGAAGATGTGTCAGTTCCCATGGCTGATTCCCTGAAAGCAGTCAATTGTAGGTGTGTGCCAGCCTGCAGTCGAGCAGATTTAATGGACAAAGACACAGCTGGCTTGCACAGACTCATGGTGTGTGTACCAGGCTCCATGAGAGGTAGGTCTGATGTAAACCAGAACAACAAATTAGAGTAGAAGCACACTTCTGTTCACTTTGCAAATCGCCCCTTCCCCCAGAAATACGGTTGGCAGAAGTGTGTGTATTTCTGTTTCTGGCCTATAGCTCCCGGAATTCCCCAGGGAGCACGGGAACTGGCCATGCTGCCTGGGGAATTCTGGGAACTATCATCCAAAACCACGAATGCATACATCTCTAAGATGCATGCTTTATGTGGGGTGCATAGCCACACCTGCCTCACCTGAGAAGAGGTGACTGTGCTACTGTTTGTCCCAAAACACCAACCGTGATCCAATCTAAAATGTGTGATGAAACTTGATAGTCACCTCTTCAGGAACACTTTGCCCCTGCACCTGTTCAGAGATGTCTTTGCCAACATTCCTCTTCAAATGTTCCAAGACTGAGCTATGCCACCGGCAAGAAATGTTAAGAGCTGGCCCTGAAATTCCCAGCTTACTCATCCTGTTCACATGTGCCTTGCCCTGAAGAGATCCTGATTCACTGCCTTGAGCCGGGCTGCTCTCGATACATTCCACACCCCCGGTGTTCCTTCCTCCCCTGAAGCAACCTCAAGCGGCTTGACTCACCTGGAAGATCTGCAGCAGGGTTTTCATGTAAAGACGACGGATGCCAAAGGAGACCCCAAAGATGGCTGGCACAATGATGAAAACCAAGAGCAGGGTGAAAAGGACGGTCAAGGAAATGCCCAGCAGGTTAACCACCAGGCTGTCAAACGGCAGCAATAGGAACATGATGAGAGGGAGGAGGGCAGGCAGAACCAATGCCCAATAAGATCCTGAGACAGTCAGGAAGTGTCCTCCTATGGCAATCAGCCAGTTCTTCTGTTACCCAGTGGTAACCTTGCACATGTGCCAGGTCCGTGGACTATCACAGACGCCATATCAAAGTTCACACCCTTCCTCCAGTGAGCTGGGGTTTGTAAAGGAGCACCACCATGCTGCCTTGAAAAAAGCCACTGCAGAAGTGGAAACGGTGAAACCTGGCTGGGATGAGGGCACAGCAGACAGGAGGACAAGCCGTGTGTGAAGGAAGGGGAGGTGCGCTCAGGAGCAGCTCCCGGGAAGGCTGGCAGACTAGGCCCCTCTGAGCCGCCAACGGCAGGAAACGTCTCTTTGGAAGGGCGAGGTGAGCTCCTTCTCCTGCCCCGCATTGGGGGGAAACACAGGTAGCCTGCAGAGCTATCGCCCTTCTCTCTGGGGCACAAGGACAGGCTCCAGGTCTCTCGTGCAGCCTCCAGCAAGTGTCATTCTGGGCGAGTCTGGCTTCAAACCACCATGCAAAGATACCGGGCTGGGGTCCTTCCTCTTTTCTTGGAAGCTACATGTGAGGGTACAGCATTCAGAGGTTTCGAACACTAGCGGAGGAAAAAAGAAAGAGTCAGGTGTATTTATCCAGTACAGTATCAGAAAGAGGGATAATTACATGTTCTTATCGCAACAGCATCTCAATGATCATCAGTTCCCCCTTCCCTTCACCCTTGCAAAGCCTTTTGGGAAGAGCCAAGGTTGAACTAGCTGGCCAAATGAATCCAGCAAATGGACTACTTTGAGGAGTGCACTTCAAAGCACTGGTGCCACGACTGAAAAAGCCCTGCCTTTCATACTCACCAGCAGGAAGAGAGCTTGTTCAGGGAACAGATAAAAGAAAGCATTCTTTAAGGCCATTTTGAATTATAAAGGCGAATGCCAGTGTCTTGAAAACAGTTAGCACCAGTATGAACTGGATGTTTCCAAAATAGTAATTAACTTTTTTCAGATCACTGTCCATAGGAAGCATGCAACCAGGAATTTCCCTAGCGGTTTGACTGAATTCACCAACTCCTTTACCAAACAGGAAAATTATATTTGCAACTGAAAACTACGGATCCTCTGGGGTTGTCCCCACCATCACTGACAAATCAAATGCTCTGTTGCCAGAATGCAAACTTGGTAATGAAGTGCAAAAAAAGGCAAGCAGCAGCGTGATACTGCACAAGTGAGCAGTAGGTTGGTAAGCAGTCAGACAAGTATAACATACTCACACATTGTCTCTTTCATTGTAAAAAATGGGGGAGAATTAAGCAGGGGAAGCAAGTTAAAACCACAGAGCATATGAGTGAAACATGCTAAATCAGACTGCCATTGAATTAGAGCATAAGAAAAATCCAAGTCACTTTGTTTGAGAAGGGCCCATATAATGGACTAAAACACAAAAAAGAATATATTCACGCTATTCCAAGTCTACAGAACAGAATAGAATGTACAACTGGGCCTAGCAAACTGACAGGCAGTGCCAAAGGATATTACACTAATGAAATGGAAGGGGGAAGGGACCTACCTGGATGGGTGACCCAGGCGAGCCACCAAGTTCTCTCTAAAAAGCAGGATGTACGAAATGCTAGTATTGAAACAGATTACTAGAAGGCCAGGTTTCTGCCCCTCCAGATCCTGGAATGTCAGACAAGCCTACATACAACTGCACCCTTTCCCCTAGGATTCAGATCTAAGGATTCATAACCACATCCCCTAGGATCCAGATGCTGAGATCCCCTGATTAAAATTTAGAGCAGTCCTCCGAACTCTCACGGATCATATCCTGGCAAGAGTTACAGGCGCAAGAGTAGAACCCTATCCCTGAAGGCATTGTCTATTCTTGCGGAACAATTTGCCAGCCCAATCAAGCTCTCTAAAAAAGCAATCATTCTTTTCACAGCATTTTGATTTGACTCAGAATATATTTTGTTGCTTACTCTGCATGCTACTCACAGTAAACCGAAGAGGAATAGAAGCCACACGAGGATGGAATGAAATGCTGGAGCTACAAGCCAAGAGATGTTTATTCTTCTGGGGAAGGACTAGCCCAGTGAAAGGAGAAAGCGTCAACAAAAGCCTCCAGAAAGGGACTCATCGCCTTCTGGGAGCTCTCCAACACATAACTGCTTGGTCTTGCATCAAGCCTGGATGTGCAAGGGCTGCAAAATGTTCCAAGAGATTCCAGAGTTCAGACTGTTGATGACGAATCAGCTTTCTCCACGTGGGAAGCAACGGATCGGGGTCACGAGAAGTCACTGCCTCCAGGTTCCAGTCTGGCTCTAAAGAACTGGCAATGTGACAAGGTAGTCGCCTGCGTCCTCAAACTGGCTGAGGACTGGGAATGCGCATCTGACATAACTAAGCAATGGACCATTTTTCCATGACTGAAATATACAAATCACAAAGCAACTCAGTCACAGAGCACACGAAGTGAATCAATCAGATTTTGGTAAATGAACACTTATACAAATTCCAGTAGTTGAATTGGTCTACTCTATTTTGAACTAAAAACTGGATTTAGCATTATTGCTCTAAAAGAAAGGAACAATCAATGGAGGGGAACATTCAGAGATGGTGACTTTTATTCTTCTGCTATGTCATGACTGCCACACACACTTCTTCAGCAAGCAGATTCTAACAAAATTCAAAGGCTTACCAAATAAACAAGATATTCAAAATACCAAGAACAGTGGCGGTGTGTGTGTGAGACAAAAACATTTGTAGAGAAGTAACAGGAGATGAAACTGATTCAAGTCTGCTTCTTGAACACCTGGAAGTATTTCTTAAGTCGCAGTTTTAGATTTCAACACCAAGGCTTGTTGTCAGGAGAAGCTTTGCCACCATAATAGGTTCCGTTGTGAGATATTTTCTTTTCAGGATGCATTGCTCAAGGCTCATTAAAGGAAGGCCCTCTATAATGAGATAACTGCAATTATCATTTGTACCACATGACTGCTTCAGCTAGGATGTGACCTGCAGAATTTTTCTCAGCCTACCATTAAAGGGAGGCATGTTTCTAAACTGATAAGGTGATCACCTGACAACAGAAGCATCAGCTTGTCACAGATCCTGGCCTCAGTATGAGTGGCAGCGGATATATTGGTAGATTGATACGATTGTTTACAACAGGAAGTGTATTGTCAGGTGACTAGTAGTCCTAGAACAAGCTTGAATTTTTAGCATGTATACATTACTGAAACAGCGATGTCTACGTTGGCTTGAGCATGTTATGAGAATGGCTGATGGTTGGATTCCAAAAGATCTCCTGTATGGAGAATTAGTGCAGGGAAAGTGCCCCAGAAGGAGACCACAGCTGTGATACAAGGATATTATCTGCAAGTGGGATCTGAAAGTCTTAGGAATGGACCTCAACAGATGGGAAAGCTTGACCTCTGGGCATTCAGCCTGGAGCATGGCCTCTCCCAATTTGAAGAGACCTTTGTCCAGCAGGCCGAGGCCAAGAGGCAGTCCCCAAACCAACAAAATCAGGGGGCTGCATAGGGGACAGATTGTATTTGTCTTCAGTGTGGAAACGATTGTCACTCTCAAATTGGCCTTCTCAGCCACACAAGATGCTGTTCCAAGTCCTCCATACAGAGCATGTTAACATAGTCACTCGAGACCGAAGGATGCCTAATCTAATCTAATAATTAACATATGGGATCAAACACTGGAAGAAGCCTAATCAAATTACTGGAGGTGGTGAGGCCTATCAACAGCTCTTGCCCCCCTGACAGTAAAGCGCAACCTCCAAGGAGATTGCAGACTCAGAAAAGTGTTTTTGGTTTAAAACTGCAACTGCCAGAAACCATCAGCTGGTATGGTCAGTGACTGTACTGGCTGGGAACTGCATTTGAAAAATGTAACTTTTCCACATCATGTAGGGAGGCAAAATATACCTGAAAACCAGTGTATGCTAGAGTAAGAAGGCCATTAAATCTCTGCTTTGTTTGTGGGCCCTCAGAACATACGACTGAACACTGGTCGAGATTCCTGAATAAATGGATTTCAAACTTGACTCAAGAGGGCAATTTTTATAGGTATTTTCTGCTCAATTGCACTGCTATTTCATTTTTTTAAATGGAGTGCAGGATAAAGGCCCAAGATTTTAGCTGGCTGAACAAGCTAAAATATCTGAGGCTGGACTGTCCAACACTAGATGAACAGGGCAGGTATCTCTCACACCTGCTGATCACACTAAAGAATTTGAAATATCTTATGTTTAGCGAGGGCAAGAGACAGGGTCTTCTCAGGAGCTGCACCCATGTACGGAACTCCCTTCTGAAAAATGCCAAGCTGGCTCCATCTTTTCACCAGTAGATAAAGACATTTTTATTTAAACAAGACCACTTCTTTCTTTTGTTTCTGGTCATGGGGCTTTCTTGGCAAAGATACTGGAGTGGCTTGCCACTACCTGCTCCAGGTGGATTGTGTTTAGTCGGAAGTCTCCACTATGACCTGTCGGTCTTGGGTAGCCCTGCACAGCATAGCCCATAGCTTCACTGAATTACTCAAGCCCCTTTGCCATGACAAGGCAGCCCCGAAATTAAAAGATACCTGCTTCTTGGGAGGAAAGCGATGACAAACCTTGATAGCATCTTAAAAAGCAGAGACATCATCTTGCCAACAAAAGTCTGAATAGCAAAAGCTATGGTTTTCCCTGTAGCGATGTACAGAAGTGAGAGCTGGACTATAAAGAAAGCTGACCGCTGAAGAATTGATGCTTTGAATTGTAGTGTTGGAGGAGGCTCTTGAGAGTCCCCTGAACTGCAAGGAGAACAAATCCATCCATTCTGAAGGAATCAACCTTAAATGTTCACTGGAAGGACAGATCCTGAAGCTGAGGCTCCAATACTTTGGCCATCTCATGAGAAGAGAAGACTCCCTGATGTTGGGAAAGTGTGAAGGCAGGAGGAGAAGGGAATGACGGAGAATGAGATGGCTGTACAGGGTCATCGAAGCGACCAACATGAATTTGACCCAACTCCGGGAGGCAGTGGAAGATAGGAGGGCCTGGCGTGCTCTGGTCCATGGGGTAACAAAGAGTCGGACACGACTAAACAACAACACTTCTTTCTGGCAGGTGTTATTTTTTTCAGTTGTTTAAACTGGTTGCAAGCCTTGTTCGTTCTGCATTTGCTTTAATTTAATGAGCTATTTAAAACTGTTAGGTTGCACTGATCTTTTACTCTACAGGTAATGTATTGACTATTGTTTTAACATTGCAATTTATTGTTATTTTTTAGCTGAACTTATTTTTTAAATGCATACTGTAAGTTGTCCCAGGTCCCAAAAGGGAGAACAATAGAATATAAATTAATAAAATAAAAATACTGTGCCAGTTCTGAACATGATGAGTTCCAGCAAATTAAAGAATCTGAAATACTTTTTTCAGATCAGCAGGAATGGATTGAGCAGGGTTACAAATGATATGGCTGGGATATGTCTCTTTCTTCTATTATGTTTATCAGTCACTACATCTCTTCTTATTTTATCCCAACTATTCTTCACTTCTTTGAAAAAAAAGGAATTAAGACATCACTTTAAGAAATGAGGATGCTCACCATGGAAAGTCTTCTCTTTCCTTTCTTCATAACCAGTTCTTGGCTGTGATGGCTTCCAAAACTAGCAATTTGAGGTTAACCTCTTAGACTTCATCACAACCATCATTAACAGTCTCGTGTGTTGATTTAAATAAAAATCCACATTCACGTTTGCCTCACATAGATTGTTAGAATTCTGCAACTGAACGTTCAGAGTTCTTGTAACCCAGGACCTAAAGAACCCTTAAGGATAGAAGGTAGGTATGCTCTGCCATATCTGTTTCTGAGAGTATTCTGTTGAGAGGGGCTGAAGTTTACTAGCAATCAGAAAACCAGAGAACTTATAATCAGTTCAATCCTATGTATGTTATCCAGGTCCCAGTAAGTTCGGTGAAGTTTGCTTTCTAGGATACACTCTTTTTGCAGCCTTAAACCTTTCCAGACTCTAGAATTCTGAGCTTGAGGACACCACACACCATTTTGTGTTTTGATTTCTCCAGCAATTAATGTTCAACTGCTACCATGACCTCAACTTTGGCCAGAGGAAGACCTTGTTTGGAGGACTAGCAGTTCTAGGGCGTTTCAAAGCCCACATGTTAATTCTTGAAGTAAAAGCACATGAAGTCCTTGTTTATGTAATTTCAGAAATGACAGGGCCAACCCCCAAATACGTACTATATAGACAAGGGGCCAATGGTGTGGAAAATGATGCTGAGTTTGATCCAGCATGGTTTTTCAGTTGATTCTGTTTTTGTTCCAACAGTGAATTTGAAGTTACTAATACTCTTAAGTGGAAGGATTCCATGCCACCTCAATTTGCCTGGTAAGGAACCTTTGCATAGGTTATGGAAACCATCTATATTGGAGTGCATTCTGAGGGATGTTCATGCAGGATTCTGTTGAAGTTTCACAGTCAGGCTACATAAACCATCAGTATGCTTGACCCTACAGTGAAGCTGCACAGCACAAAAGAGGAGGAGGAACGGACAAGCTATCATCTATTTAAGCTGGGCTATCATAAATGTCTGCAACATGATAGGTTGTGGCTCCCTTCATACACTGCAAAAATTGAGACAGATACAGAACATTCAGGTATTTATTGGGTTTGCTTTGTATTTCAAGAAACAGAAGTGTGCTTTTTCCTTGCTGTTAAGTCTGACCGCAGCTAAGCAACCATTCTTTAAATGTTACCAAGAGCTGCTTTGGCAGTTTAAAAATGACCCTGTATGTTAACAGTCCAAGCCTGCAATTCTGGAACTTTGATAAGAGTCATGGATTCTCCCCACCATTGAGATGCCTCCCAAGAAAACTGAAATAACCTATCTCTTAAATAATAGATGGGACACAGCAGCTTGCTAAATTTGAAAGTTATAGCTGTACATAGTTTAGAACAGGCTATAAATAGCCCTTGTTGGTAGCACCTCAGATGTTACACATTACAATGCAACAGAGGAGATACAGCAATCTTTAAATGTAAAACTTGTTCTTGGGGCTTTTAGGGAAGGGCAATGCTTTTAAAATCCATAGTACAATAATTACCATGGTACAAAGAATGCCTCTTAAAAAAAATCTTCCTCTCTCAGTAGATCACTCTTTCTTTATACAGTACCAGTAAATGCACATTTGAAATGTGAAGCCTGAAGATGTCCAGACATTTTGGACTATAACTCCAATAAGCATCAACCCGCATGGCCGATGGGCAGAGATTATGGGAGTTTCAATCCAGCTCATCCGGAAGGGAACTGGTAATCTACCCTTATTATTATTCATCTTCTTGAATTTTCTGTGTTTGTTTTTAAAAGAATAAAGGTAGACAGAACAGGTAAGAAAAAAAATATTCTCTTGAAAAATGCAGCATATAAATATTTTAAATAATATATTCTCAAAAGAGACCAGTATGATTTTAAAAACACACACTCTACAATGCAATTTAAGGTAAAAAGTGGGTTATACAGTATGGATATAGACAAGGTTATGTGTACTCAAGGGACAACTGAGCACCTACAACCAATTTAAGATACTCAGTATGATGTAGTGGATACAATGGCAAACTAGAACTCAAGAGGCCAGGACTCGAATCCCACCTCAGCCATGGAAACTCACAGGGGGTAATGGACTGGTAAAATTACTCCCTAAATATTTCACATTGAAAGCCCTAATAAGGTCACTATACGTCAGTTCTAGCTTGACAGCACAGAACGACAAAAACAACAACAGATTCAAGTTACGTTTATTTTATGTTGCTTAGTAACAACATTCCCTGAGCAGCTTGTAAATCTTCTCATTTCCATTTTTCAGTGAACTGATTTATCATATTTATTTGTTACATTTATACCCTAGCTTTCCTCTATTGAGCTCAAGGTAATAGATTCTCTAACCCACTTTATTTATCATCACAGTGCTTGGGTGAGTTAGATCAGGTGAGAGTGTGATTTGGCCCATGGCCATACAGCATGTTATGTGTCTCAGTTCAGGCCACGATTTAGATTTCCCCAGGTCCCAATCTACCTTTCTAAAGGCAAATAAACAAATAAATAAGTGCAAATGTAACCCCTTCTTGCTAAAAAGAGGAGGAGGAGGTGGGCAGAGAGGAAGAAAGCATAATGGAAAAATTTACTGACATCCCTTGCTTGACCTCCTAAAAATCTCAGGATCTGCCGTCATTCAGTTGATATTTCTGACCTTCACTGTGCACGTATAAATTAAGACTGTCACCTGATTAAATAGTCATTTCAAAGAAACTAATCATACTTTTCCTGTATTTAGTCCATGTAAACATGCATCACAACAGACATTACCTCACAAGACACATTCTTTATTGAGTAAGAGGGAAGGGGAAACACCTTTTTCGGATTGCACAAGTCACCTGTAGATTTTGCAAGTGCTTGCATTAAAAAACACTGCTTAAATTCTTAAAGTACCTGATCTTTAATTGTATTATCTTTTTCACAGATCAAAAGACGTTAAAATTAATATAACCTTATAATTCTCAAAAATTAGTTCAATCCTACATACTCCAAAACAATCCAACTAAAGTTAAACTTTTTGGATTCCCACTGGTTTCAAGGTGAGAAAAGCAGAGTCTATGGCCATAATCTGAGCAGGCATGCATAACATTGCATCAAAAGATTATTTTAAGCCCCACGACTGGAATAAAAGCAAAATGTATCATTCCTTCAGAACAGGGATTTATAATACTGTATGCCTTCCCCTGCCAAAGCTTAACTATGTCACATAGCTAATAAGTTTAAACCCACCTCAAAAAATAAAGGACATACTTGTAATTGTAAAATACAAAAAATAACACCATCACAAAAAATAAAGGACATACTTGTAATTGTAAAATACAAAAAATAAAGGAAATCATCACAAAAAATAAAGAACATACTTGTAATTGTAAAACAACACTACTAATATCACTAATAATTTCTAACAGTAATAGCCATTTAATATTATTGGACAAAGCGAGATTGCCATATTTGTTCGTGAAGGTGGGGAAAGTCAAAGACTATACTTTGTTTAAGACCAACCCAGCTGTCCCCAAAGGGAGAAAGGTTTTCCTGTTCTCTTGATCAAAGGAAATGTGAAAAAGAAGAACTCACTCATCTTCTAAAATGAATGGAACCCCCATCAAAGTCTAGCCCTTTGTCACAAAGAAAAGTGGGTAATTTGGAATAGACTAGGCGATGGGCTCAGCAGAACCAAAATGAAGCTGAGAAAATGGCATTTTTTTACACTGACAGGTTTTTTTTTTTAAAGCAAAGTGTGCTGCTTATATATGGCCCCATATTGCTCAAAGCCCTCTCTGGGCAGTATACAATACTGACCTCGGGAGGCTGACTCAGTCTTGAGCCAGCTACCTGAGCCCAGGATCAAACTCAGGTTGTGAGCAGAGTCTTCACTGCAATACTGCAGTTTAGCCACTGTGCCACAAAGCTCCTCAGAGAAGAACAGGCAGCTGCATACCTTTGTCAGTGTAGCATGGAAAACTGGATGTAGATGCCCTTGATGTTGCCTGTTGCTGGGCAAAACTTATCTGATATATTAATTAATTGTACAATTAGGAAGAAGAGAAGGATCAACCATTTCTGTATATTCTCTATTTGGAAAACCCTGAAAAGATTTGCCCTAAATCGGAATTGACTTGACAGCATGCAACTAAAGCTGACTGGATAGCTCAGTGAGTTGGCTATTTAGCCACTGGAGGTTGGGAGTTCGATTCCCCCACTGGTGCCTCCAGGGAGAAGAGCCAGCCTGGGTGGCCTTGGGCCAGCTGCACACACAGTCCCAGGGCTCCCCCTAGAGGAAAGGAAGGGTAAAGCACTTCTGAGTCTTCTCTCCCTGGAAAGGGTTTCCACCATAAGTCAGAATGGACTTGACAGCACACAATTACGAAACGAATATATTTATTATTATATGCTGACAGGAACCAAGGAAGAAGGCCAGACCAGGTGGGGCACGAAGTGGGGGGGGCGGGGCGCTGAGGGGCAAACAGAAAAGGGCCAAAACCGGACCCAAGGCCTCACCCCAAGGACACCTGGCCCCTCTTTCCCAGCTCTCCCGTTTCTCCCCCCCCACACACACACACACCCCGCGGCCCTCCTTCTCTGGACCCTCGGCCTGACCTGACGAGGAGGAGCTCTGAGGTACTCGGAAGCTGGCACGCTTTGACGGGAGTCCTTGGTTTGTTTTTTGTTTTGCTTCCGTCCTGCTTTGCTGGCCCTCCTGGAACCGCGGTGGGTTTTTGGGGGGGTGCCTCCCCGCCCCCAGGGGACCGGTCACTGAAGGGGAACAGAGGGGGGAGGATGATGGCCAGGAGCCCCAGGAAACGCCGGCTCTGGAGAAGGCGCCCCGCGGGCTCCCGAGGGCCCTTCGAGGAGGTGGAGGAGGACGACGAGGGGGCTCCGGGCAGGCTAGGCCAGGAAAGGCCTCAGGGCCCGGGGCCGAGCGAGGCGCCGGTGGAGAGGCGGGAGGGAGGGAAGG